GCTTCTAAGCTTAGGATTCTAGGCTTAGGCTTCTAGGCTTCTAGGCTTAGGCTTCTAGGCTTAGGCTTCTAGGCTTAGGCTTCCAGGCTTAGGCTTCTAGGCTTAGGCTTCAATGCTTAGGATTCTAAGCTTAAGCTTAGGCTTAGGCTTAGGCTTAGACTTAGTCTTAGGCTTACGCTTACGCTTAGGCTTAGGCTTAGGCTTAGGCTTAGGCTCAGGCTTAGGCTTAGGCTTTGTCTTTGGCTTAGGCTTCAAGGCTTAATCTTCTACGCTTAGGATTCTAGGCTTAGGTTTCTAGGCTTAGGCTTTTAGGCTTATGCTCGAACTTCAAATTAAAAATGTTGAAAGACTTTTGTCCAACGTCTAATTTTTTTTATATTTACCCAAACAGCTCAGCCGAGAACGCCAAATGGCGCTAAAATTGAGAAATTAAGCCTCAGGGCTTCTTGATCCAAACAAATCGCTTATCCAATTTATCTTCCAAATCCTGGGTTCGGAAAGGTTCTGGTGCCTCCGGGCCACTTAAATGTGATTTTTATATTCTCATTTAAAATTACGACAATTTGAGGTCCCATTCCCGGTGATTTGTTGATTTTTGGTGTTGTTTTATGACAAAATTTGATTTTTAAGATATGTTACGTTTTGGAAAGAAAGTTTTTGCCATTTTTTAGTTGTTAGAGAAAGTTCTTGCCGTTTTTTAGTTTGTAAAGAAAGTTCTTGCCATTTTTTACTTTGTAAAAAATTTCTTGCCGTTTTTTAACTTGTAAAGAAAGTTTTTTGCCATTTTTTGTGTTGTAAACAAAGTTTTTGTAATTTCTTGTTTTGTAAAGATAGTTTTTGCCGTTTTTTGGTTTTTAAAGAAAGTTCTTGCTATTTTTTTGATAAGAGCTTTAGCCTTAGTCCTAGCCTTACTTTAAGCCCTAGCCATAGCTCTAGTCTTAGCCTACCCTTAGCATTACCTCTAGTCATACCATTAGCTCTAGCCTTAACCCTAGCCGATGCCCTACTCCCAACCCACCTCTGGCCGTATCCTTGGCCAAAAAATGGCCCAGCTAATAGAATATGCAAATTAGCCCGGCTATTCTCCATATCGCTGTTCATTCGAATTTTCGAATCAGAAAACGGGCAGGGTGGGTCATTTTACGACGTTCACGTTGCTTTCCCACCCATTTTTCTTCCACCGTCCGTTGGGAATTCGGTGGCCAAATAACCGAAAAGTGCCATGATTACTATGGGGAATACTGTAACTCTACCGTCGATTGTTTTTGACAACTTTTGGTAGTGTTATCTGAAAGTTTTGTTTTTAAAATTTTTGGGGTTTGATTCAAAATGGCAGTAGAAATTGAATTTTTGGGGCCGGAAGCAGGGCTTGATACTGGGGGTCAAGTGTATATTTTAGTATATCTTTTTGATTAGGTTATGGAAAAATATGGTTTTAGGCTTGTTTTAAGCACAAAATAATAGGCTTTTGAGTACAGATTATCATTAATTGTTAAAAATTTCATAAAAGTTCAAATTTGAATTTTTTATCTAAAATTTATCATAATTTTCTAAATTTTGACATATAATGCACGCGCAACTTTTTAGTGTAGCTATAGTCTACAACAATATGAACTTTTCATTTTAGGCTTGTTTTAAGCACAAAATAATAGGCTTTTGATTACATATTGTCACTTAAATTCAAAAATGACAAGTACTGCAAAAAGTTAAAATAACTCAAATTTTTTCGTTTTTGGGTTGAGAAACATGGTGAATATTTTAATTTATCGTATACTGAAGTTATGTATAAACGTGATTATAGGTTTAAATTAACCGCAAAATGACAGGCTTTAATATGGTATAACGGTGTAAAAATTTTGGATTTGATAAAGGGTTAAAAAAATTATTTTTTGGCCAAAAAATTGAGTTTTTGACCTTATTTTTATTAAATTTTTTTTTTATTTTCAAAACTTTTTTATGTCAAGTCCTACTTTTAGGTCTAATTAGTTATAAAAAGGTTTTTCACCTTCAATTCAACCTAAAAATTTAATAGAAAATTTGTGAAAATGCATTTTCTCTTATCACCACTATCAGCGCCACATTTTCCCTCCTAATTTGATAAAAGCTAGTGATGAATGTTTAGTTCGGTCATAAAATCATGGGAAACGGGTTGGTCAGATTGATGAATAAACTACCTGTTATAGTTTTAAGTGGGTTCAGTTTATTTAGGTTAAGTTGCTATGCTGTCATATTCTGCCTGCACCGTGCAGCTTTTTTTGATTGCACTGTGCAGTCTTTTATTGATTGCCCTGTTCAGTCTTTTTTTGCTTGCACTGTGCAGTCTTTTATTGATTGCACTGTGCAGTCTTTTTTCATTGCACTGTGCAGTCTTTTTTCATTGCCCTGTGCAGTCTTTTTTTCATTGCACTGTGCAGTCTTTTTTTTGCTTGCACTGTGCAGTCTTTTATTGATTGCCCTGTTCAGTCTTTTTTTTGCTTGCACTGTGCAGTCTTCTTTCATTGCACTGTGCAGTCTTTTTTGATTGCACTGTGCAGTCTTTTTTGATTGCACTGTGCAGTATTTTTTTGATTGCACTGTGCAGTCTTTTTTCATTGCACTGTGCAGTCTTTTTTTCATTGCCCTGTGCAGTCTTTTTTTCATTGCACTGTGCAGTCTTTTTTGATTGCACTGTGCAGTCTTCTTTCATTGCACTGTGCAGTCTTCTTTCATTGCACTGTGCAGTCTTTTTTGATTGCACTGTGCAGTCTTTTTTGATTGCACTGTGCAGTATTTTTTGCTTTACTGTGCAGTTTTTTTTCACTGCACTGTGCAGTCTTTTTTCATTGCACTGTGCAGTATAATAGTTTAGTAAAGCTAAACAAAAAACGCATTTTAAGCCAAAAAACGTTTTCAAAAAGCGATTTATTTTTGTTTCAAAAGTTCATGCATGCTTCAGAACGCGGGAATGGCTCATAAATTTTGGTTGGGCTCAAAATATTCGAAATTAAACATAGACTTTGCACTTTTGGCAGCCGTTTTTTGAGGATTTTTGAAAAATTGCTTTTTGAGGGGTTTAAATTTTGAAATTTTGGCATTTTAAGCCAATTTTTTTGTTAACTAGTAAAAGTTTTTAATTTTTTTGATTTTGTAAAGAAAGTTTTTGCCAGTCTTCGATTAAAATTAATTTTAGTTTGCCCTGCCCTTTAAAAATTTGAAAAATCCAAGTTTTAAAATTTTTTGGGTCAAAAATAGTTGATATAGACTGTAAACTACCAAAATCATCAAAGTTTACAACCGCCGAGTTAATAATTAGTTTTTATGAATAAGATGCGTTTCACTAATTAATCAAAACAATGGATGTGTGGCGCGGTTATTACAGCGCAAATGCGATTGTATCATGTATAATTGGTTCGATTTCTGTGGTATGGGAACCAATACATTTGGTTTTTACATTATTATTCGTTTTTTTTATTTTTATTACAATTTTCTATTACTTTTTCAATTAAAAAATTTTTTTTTGATTTTTGAAAATTTTGCACATTGGTCTGGAAAAATGGCAAGAACTTTTTTTACAGCCGCTGCAATTTTTTCATTTTTACAGTGCGGTAATAACACAGTCTTGAGTATATTACTCTTTAATTTTAGACAATTTTATAAAAATTTCAAGAACTTATGGACCGTTATCCCTGAAAAGGTTAGCTTTTGCCTTGATTCTTCAATGGGTCTTGGAAAAAACGCAATAATTTTCTTTCCAATAAAAGAAAAATTTTTAGAACAGGTCGTACTTTAAAGAAAAATGGATTTTCCCCAAGGTTTTTTAAAATTTTTGTTTTTCATTAAAAATTCGCGGATTTTTGAATTTTTTTCCAAAGTCGTGAGCGCAGTGGGTTTTAGAAAAACGGCAATAACTTTCTTTCTAAAACAGGAAAAAATTTTAAACTGATAGTATTTTACAGAAAAATGAATTTTCCACATGATACTTTCAAAAAATTTCACTTTCATTTATAATTTGAGGACCATTTCACAAATTTCAATGAACAACTATTTTTTCTTATCAAATTTTGAAGAGTTCGAAATCTGACAACCCAAATTCAGTGTCAAAACGGCCCAACTATTCGAAACCATTGTAACATCATGCCCGCGATGGGTTAAAGCCCCCGCTGGCTCATAACTTATCTTACGCCCGAGGGCATTTGTCATGCGGGGTTTAGGGAAATGAAGTTGGGAATGGAGTTATAAGTTTTTTTCGCGCGTTATAACCAATATTTTCGATTGGAATCGAAAAAAGTTTATTGCCTCAGGGTAATTTGATTAGTTTAGAGAGCGATATTGGGTTTGGCCATATTGAAATTTGCGAAATTTCACGGTTTCGCCCGTTTTTCAGAAGATGTGTCATTTTTAATGTCTAAAATAAGGTCGGCAAGTGGTTAGAACGGCTTGAAATTGATGTTATATATAGAGTAAAGCCTACAGAAGAAGATGTGATGTTTTGCTTTTGAAGGAATCATAACAAGCCGTATTTTACCAAAAATATGAAAGTAACATAATTTTAAAACTTTTTTAATTTTTTTATTTTTCGTAGAACTAAAATGACAGACGTGATAAAAAAATTTTTATAGGTCCAAAAACATCGTACAATAACATGAAAGTTTTATTTTTTATAAGTTTTTACTTATTTATTTCGCCATCGATGATTTATTTTTAGACATTTATTGATCTTGCACTTGTTTTTTTTCATGAATTTAATGTTAAAAACGCTTCAAATCATTTACAAACATTTATAAAACACTGTAAAACCATATACTATGCTTTTCTGTTATTACCTATGTCCATTCATTTTGTCTCGCTGACGCATTTTATAGACATTTAGTTCTTCACGCCGTATTTTATGAAAATTTCGTTCGAAGCGCGTAAATATTAGCAACCCTGAAAACTAGCTGAATAACCAACAAATCAACGTTTTCAGAAGCACATAAACACAATTGGCTACAGAATCCGCGCGATTCCGCCGCCAATTCGTTATGGAGAGCTCGGATTTGAAATGGATCTTGTTGGTGTTGGTATTGACCTTCAATACACGATGTTTTGCACATGTGCGGACGGTCAGTGATGAATATAAGGTAGGATTTGGTTTTAGTTTGTTTTTAGACAATGGTTTATATATTTAACGTTGTTTTTGATGTTAGTTTTGACTGATTTTAGAGGAAGGGTCAATGTTATCGATGTTGGTATAGAAAAATTATTTAGGTATGAAATTGTTGCTAAGTCTTTGTGGTTTTACATTTATATGAAGGCTAAAACACGGTTTTTTAATTACAAATGTATTTATTGACGTTTTTCGTTCAAGAAAGTGGGAAAATTATGCGTTATATTAATCATGCTATCAAAAATCTTGTTGGTGTAGATGGGAAACCTAAATTTTTGGGTTGATATTGTTAGCTTTATCAATTGATTTTGTAGTTATATGAAAGGTAAAACATTTTTCTTTATTTTAACATGCATTTTGGACAGTTTCTTTTCTGAAAAAACGATGGTTTAATGGGATATTATTCATGACATCAAATATCTTGTTGATGTTGTTGGGTAAATGGATTTTTTTTATATGAAGTTGTGGTTTTTGTTAGTTGGTTTTATATTTATATTAAAGTTAAAAGAATTGGCTTTAATTTGACAGAAATTTTGCGCACTTTACGTATTAGGTAACTAAGGATTTAGCGCTATATTATCCTTGACATCAAGTCTTTCGTTTTAAATTTTTTTTTGATTTTTCTTAAAGAAATTTGATTGTAATTGTTATAAGCCTTTGAAACAGCTTAATAACCTTTATTTTCAGCCTTTGAAGCAAAGCGATAATTGTGTACCAATCACTATGGACTTGTGCAACGATCTTCAGTACAACACGACCATGTTCCCGAACTTGTTAATGCACACGACTCAAGAAGAAGCCAATGCCGAAATTAAGGCCTACGAAATGTTGGTCAAAGTCAATTGTTCCAAGGACTTTAAACTCTTTCTCTGCACACTATTTGCACCACTTTGTACTCAAATGGAGGAGCCATTGAAGCCGTGCCGACATTTGTGTTTGAGTGCCAAACATGGCTGTGAGGACTTGATGAAGAAGTTTGGGTATTCGTGGCCGGAGATCTTCAATTGTGACAAGTTTCCGATCCAAAATGGCTGGTGTTTTGGTGAGAATACCACCATTAATTCGCCGGTTAGTACGACTGTCGGGCCGCCGGAGAAGACCTTGGAATGCCCACATACCATGAGAGTTTTGAGCAAAAGCAGGTCAGTTGAGGGAATTTTTTTGGCTTCTTTAGTGTGTTTTTGACATGGAAAGAAAGTTCTTGTCGTTTTATGTTTTGTAAAGGAAGTTCTTGCCATTTATCGATCTGTATAGAAAGTTTTTGTTGTTTTTTGCTTTGTAAAAAAACTTTATTGCTACTGGCTTCTAATATGTGATAAAAAAGTCTATAAACTACCTATTTTCAGTTACAATCTCAAAATCGCCAACGCCACTATCCCACAATGTTCCTTACCGTGCGAGACAGAAGACCGTGTCCCAATCTTTGGTTTCTCGCCTTCAGAACGTGGAATCCTCAGGCTAACTGCATGGTTATCAGCGGTAGTATGTCTAGTATGCACACTGTTCACCGTGGTAACGTTCTTGATTGACATCGAGAGGTTCGAGTTCCCAGAAAGAGCGATATTGTACATGGGGGTCTGCTACTTCTTTGTTAGTCTCACATACCTGGTCGGAACTGTTGCTGGTAAGTTTTTTTTTAAATTAGAAGTGAGCAGGGTATTGTCAGCGTTTGGCGGGGATTTTGAAGTATATTTTAATTGTCGGTCTAATAAAAAATTACAGTTTATGGCTAAAAGTAGGGTTTTTAAGCGTTTTTTGAGGGATTTTGCTCAAATTTTGGACAATAAATGGCATTTTTAAATAAAACTGTACATACTATAAGATTGCTTATGCTTTAAACTTATGTTTTAGGGATCTTCAGCTTTGGGTCTTATGAAAATTGGCAGTTTAAGGCTAAAAATAAAAGGTTTTGAGCGTTTCTTGAAGGATTTTGCTCAAAATTTTGGGCAATAAATGCCATTTTTAATAAAACTAAAATTCAAAAAATAATTTTTCTTAATTTTCCAGGTGGCCCAGTATCTTGTGGAGCCCTATCCACCACCCAATCGCCGCTAGTAACTCAAGGAATCGACAATTTCGCCTGTTCGGCGGTCGCCTTCATCAACTTCTACTTCTCAACGGCCGCGGCCGTCTGGTGGTTCTGCCTATGCTTTGCCTGGTTCCTCGTAACGACCCTAAAATGGGGAGAAGCACCTGTGGGACAAGTTTTTGGTACCTACTTTTCGCTTCTGGCTTGGGGTGGACCTGCCGTCGCAGCCATCGCCGTTCTGGTCACGAACTCGGTCGATGGTGACATGTTTACTGGATTATGCTCGGTTGGCAATCTACAGCCTCAGGCAATGCTGAAGTTTGTGGCTATTCCACAGGCCGCTCTGATTGGTGGGTTTTGGGCGGTGTTTTTGGGGGAACGTAATTTTTAGGGAAAAAACGTGAAATTTTATGCATTTTGCAATTTTTTTACAGAAAAATGATAATTTGTGAAAATATTGGAAAAATGCCATTTTTGGTTCCATTTGTTACCTAAAATTTTCCAAATTTTTTTCAAAAATTTCTTAAAAATCATTTTTTTAAATTTTAGGCTTAAAATTAAGCCTAAACTCTATAACTCAGCTAAAACTAAAAATATCAAAAAACCCTTTTACCACAGTAAAACCAAGACCATAACCTTTGATTTTTTCAGTATCCGGCTTCTTTTTGTTCGGCTGCGGCTTCATTTCGATCCTTCGAATCCGCTCCTACATCAAAGGCCAAAAAGCCGCTCCGTTGGGCAAATTCGAAGCGGCTTCGGGCAAAATCAGTCGATTGATGATTCGAATCACAACCTTTGCTTCGTTGTTCATGATTGCCAGTGTGGTTTACTGTGTTTGCTTGTTTTATCAGGTAGGTGTTTTGCAAGGTTTTTTGGGGGGGGGGATCGGGTTAGCTATTTTTTCAATTTTTAGGCATGAAAGTTGAGGTTTTTAGCTATTTTATACTTAAATATTTTTGTTTTCTGCTTTTTTATTACCTAAAAACCTCAATTTTTTCAAATTTGTTACTTAAAAAGTTACGTTTTTATCTATTTTATACCTAAAATTTTAAGTTTTATGTGTTTTAACACCTAAAAATCAATTTTAATTGCTGTTTTGTACCTAGAAATCAACTTCAATTGGCGTTTTATACCTAAAGATCAATTTTAAATGCCTTTTTATACCTAAAAATTGATTTTTAAGGTCATTTCAAACCTAAAAATTTAATTTTTTTGTTGTTTTTTACTTAAGAATTAAAGTTTTTGAAGTTTTATTACCTAAAAATCACATTTTTTCAAATTTTTCAAATTTCAGGCAGTCAACATGGACTCATGGTTAACATCCTGGTACGGCACTCGATGTCTCCATCTACAGCGCGGTAAATTCGGCTTCACTCAGCAACGTGAGCTCTGCCCTATCAATCAGGCGGCCCTAACCAACGAATCACCCGATTGGCTAATGTTCTGTGGCAAGTACGTGGCGCAGCTGTCAGTGGGCGTGGCGTGCGCGGTCTGGACCATAAATGGAAAGACATTCAACAGCTACGGCGACTTTTATGCTAGAGTCTTCTTGGGCAGGTCTAGGGTGCCTACTCGGCAGTCTTAGGGGGTTTTTAGTTTTTTTAAGTTTTGAAATTTTTTTAAAATTTGAATTTTTTTTAAATTTTTTAAATAATTTTTCTTTGAAAAATTTTGATTTTAAAGCTTTTTTTGGGTTTTAGGTAACAAAATAAGATTTTTTTTTCTTTTTAGGTAACAAACTAAGCTTTTTTCATCTTTTGGATAACAAAATAAGCTTTTTTTGGTTTTTAGGTAACAAACGCAGCTCTTTTGGTTAATTAGGTAACAAAAAGCTCTTTTAATTTAAAAACCTTAAATTTTTAATTTTGAAAATTGAGTTTTTTGACATATTTCAAAAATTTGTTACCTAAAGTAATAGTATATTCAAATAATTCTGAGCCCTTCTCAAAAAAAATTTTTTTGGGGTTAGGGGGCTCAGAATTATTTCAACAACCTAATACAAATCAAAGGTTTGATATCCTAAAACCCTTCCCTACCTTACCCCTACACCTTCCCTTACCCCTACCCTATACCTTCACCTACACCTACCCTTACTCCTACCGTAGGGGTTGGGGGTAGTATAGTCGATTCGCTGCCAAAGTATTGTAAATATGGTCTTGTTTTTGTATTTTTGGGTATTTAAAATGCATTTTTGTCACATTTTACCGTATTTTTTAATTTTTAAAATTTTTTCGAATTTTTTTTTTGAAATTTGATGTTTTTTAATTTGTGTATATTACGATCAAATCGGGTCCAATTCCAACTCTCTTCTCTGATTTCCAACTCAATTCGTCTTTATTTATTTCATCTCAGGCTTGTATTCAGGGTTGTATTTGAAAAAATTTGAAATTTGATGACATTTACAAATGACAACTCTATCATTATGTTAATATTTGTTATAATAAAAAAGATTTTAATATGGAGCACTTAAATTTTATGACATTTTTACAAGTTTGAGGGATTAGAAATTAAAAAAAGGGGAATTTATGGAGTTTTTAGGTAATAATAAGGGGTTTAAAAAAGTCTTGTCGTCAATATACATGTATTTATAAGGTGAAAAACGACAAAACTTTTCTTACACATAAAATTTCGTTTTTTTGCTATTTTTGACATTACAGAAAAGGGCGGGGGTAAAAAAAAATTTTTTTTGGGGGGAAAAAAAATTTGAAGGGGGGGGGGAGGGAAGGAAGGAAAATTTTTAAGGGGCTTAAAGTTTAGGTATGAAAAAATATTATGGTGGGCAAAAACATTTTTTGGGTGGGGGGGGGTAAAAAAATATTTTTTGGGGAGTGGGTATACATTTTTTTAAAGAGAGGAGTGAAACATTTTTTGGAAAAAAAAATTGAAATCAAGTCTATAAATCAGCCAGACTGTTCCTTGGCCATCCCATTCTCGTCATTGACAACGTCGATGATCTCAACATCGTTATCAACTTCATTATGTCGATGATTCCTCAAATGAACTCGGTAATTGTCTTTTCGTGAGATTACTCTCTTACAAATTGGACAAACAAATCGCTTCTCAATCGAATGTACTGTAGTTTGGTGGCGACGAATTGTGGACTGGTCGGCGAAACGACGGCCACAGTGCTGGCACTGAAAGTAGCTTTTATGTTGATGTAATGACCCTACTGATACCCTGCCCTACTACCCTACCCTACTTTACCCTGCCCTACCTTACCCTACCCTAACCTACTTTACCCTACCCTACTTTACCCTGCCCTACCTTACCCTGCCCTACGCTACCCTAACCTACTTTACCCTGCCCTACCGTACTGTACCCTACCCCACTCTGACCTACCCAATACTATTTGTACCCTACCCAGCCTCACTGTAGTTTGACCATAGCTAATCCTACCTTTCCTGTCATGCACTGTCTTGTCCCTACCCTACCCTATTTTACTCTACCATACTCTACTGCCCTTGTCCTATCCTACCCTCTGGCCTACCATACCCTATCCTACTGTCCTTATCTTATCCAACCCTACCCTGGCTCACAAGAATCGTGTCCTACTACCCTACCATTACCGTAACACTGCCTTACTTATCTTTTTAGTCCTGGCATGCTGTTTTGCTATGCCGCACCTTGTCCTGCCCTTTCTTCTGCCTAGACATGAGGAACGGGCCGGGGTAACTGTTAGGTCCGGTCCAATTTAAAAAAAAAATTTTATATGCAAAAGGGCCGGACCGTGCTTTTCCGGGATCTCCAGGCCCCGACCTAAATTTGGCTCAGGCATGGTCCGTTCCTCATGTCTACTTCTTCCTTTCCCTGCTCAATTTTACTCTTTGTTTTACAAAGCCGTAGCCCTACCATGCTTTGTCATTTCATACTGTGTCCTGCTTTATTCTTATGTTATCCTACCCTACCCTAACCTACCCTACCCTACCCTACCCTACCCTATCCTACCCTACCCTCTCCTCCCCCCCCTCTCCCTCACATTACAAAAACCACCCTACCTTATAAGGCTTCTCTCCAGTATGAGTCCTGACATGACTCTTCAAATAGTGTTTCCTTCCCTTTTTACCACAGTATTCACAAGCATATACCCTCTGGGCGTGTGACTTGGCATGGCTTTCCAAATCCAGCACGTTTGAATCTTCAGGACAGACCAAACAGCGATTGGACTGATTGTCAGCATGAGCCTGCAGGAAGTGCTGGCTCAGCTCGTTGGAGTGTTTCGCTGGTACTGACACTTTCTCACATACAGCACAAAGAAGATATGACGCTATGCCTAGGATAATATCAGAGGAGCTGGATTCCGATGCTGGGTTGGTTGGGTTGGGTATGGTTGGGAGTAGGGAGGTGGTTATTGGACTTGCTGAAAGAGAGGTTTTGAGTTGTAAAGAAAGTTTTTTCATATTTTTATTTTTGAAGGTAAGGCTGAGGTAGGGCTTGAGTAGCGTAAGGTATGTTATATAATAGCAGGGTAAAGTACATTAAGGTACTGTAGAATCCATCAAGGTAGATTCAGGGCATTCTATAGGCCAAGACAGGGCAGGCACAAGCAAGTAAAGGGTAGAAGAAGGGTTTGGCAATAGGTAAGGGCAAGGGATTTTAAGGTAGGGCAGGGCCCTGCAGTGTAGGACAAGACAGAGCATGATAGGAAAAGGCCGGGTTACAGCTATGGTCAGGGTACAGTAGGGCAAGGTAGGGTACAAATATAGTATTTGGCAAGTCAGGGCGTTGTAGGGTACAGTACGGTAAGGCAGGAAAAATCAAGTAGGGTAGGGTAGGGTAGAGTAGGGTAGGGTAGGGTAGGGTAGGGTAGGGTAGGGTAGGGTAGGGTAGGGTAGGGTAGGGTAGGGTAGGGTAGGGTAGGGTAGGGTAGGGTAGGGTAGGGTAGGGTAGGGTAGAGTAGAGTAGGGTAGGGTAAAGTAGGGTAGGGTAGACTGACCATTATTATTCTTCCTTTCATTGATTTCAGCTGGTTCATCTTCAATATCTACACCTTCATCTTCAGCCTTGTCACAACACTTTCGGCCCAGCTGTGCCAAAGCTTTCTTCACCAACTGGTCGGTCTGTTTCATAACTGACAATTGTTGTTTTAGACGTTGGTTTTCAGTTCTGACTTCGTTCAGCTCGGTTTCTGCGTTGGTACGTTCGGTCTGAAGGAATAATCATTATTTTAGGCTTATCTTAGACAATTTTAGGCCTATTTGTTTGATTTTAGGCCTATTTGAGCCCATTTAAAGCAATTTTGTTACCTAAATTATAAAAAGTTTAAAAAATTGAAATCTCACCCTCATTTCATGAATAATTGACTTCAGATGAGCATTCGTTTCTTCCAATCCAGCCTTCAGCAGAACAATGGTAATGGCGGGTGATATTGTTATAGCCGAGTTTCTCAAGCTCATGAACAAACTTTTATCCACTGATTGGGCTACTACATCTATTGAGGTTCTGAAAATGAATTTTTAAAATATTTACAATGCCCTACCCTACCCTACTTTACCCTACCCTACCCTACCCTACCATACTTTACCCTACCCTACCCTATCCTACCCTACCCTACCCCACACTACCGTACCCTACCTTACCCTACCCTATCTTACCCCCATCCTACCTTATCTTACCGTACACTACACTAATTTGCCTTATTATGCCATGCTCTACTGTAGTTCAACCTTAGCTCTAACATAACTCTTTCCTACCATGTCCTGTCTCGTCCTATCCTGCTCCGTTCTTCACTTCCCCGCCCTTGCCTACCCTTTTTCCTGCTCTTGCCTTGCCTTTGCTTATCTTGCTTTGGCCTGTAGAATGCCGTGACCTTACTTTAATTATCCTACAGTAACTTAATCTACTTTAGTTTACTGTAACTTACTCAATTCTGTCTTATCCTACAATACCCTACCCTACTGTACCCTACCCTACCCTGTTCTACCCTACCCAACCCCGCCTTACTCTTCATCAAAGAACATTCTGTGAAAGACGGAAGGAAAGTTGTTGCCATTCAGCTTGAATGCCATATAATCAGCTGGTCTTAATAAGGCTGTGTAGAAACTTATGGGTTCATCGATGAATGACATTGACAGTCGGAAGATGATCGGCTTTTCTGTCATTAACAGCGTTTCAAAACGAAGCTTTATGGTTATTGTGCTGAAATGTCATTTTTACATGGCATTAGTAGTTTTTAAAAAAAGTTCTTGCCATTTTTTGATTTGTAAAGAAAGTTCTTGCCATTTTTTGATTTGTAAAGAAAGTTCTTGCCATTTTATAGTCTGTAAAGAAAGTTCTTGCTATTTTTTGTTGTGTAAAGAAAGTTCTTGCAATTTTAAGCTTTGTAAAAAAAATTCTTGCCATTGGTTGCTTTGTAAAGAAAGTTCTTGCCATTTTAAACGACTTACTTAAAGCCAAAGTTGACGTTTCGTCGATGAACCCAAAAAGCATTGACTAAATCCATTTCAAAATGTCGAAATTTGAAATTGAAATCGAAATAAAAAGCAATTTTAACACGAAACCAAAAGTTTTTTGCAATTATTTTTCTTCTTCCTTTCTTATCAGTCCTCTCATGATATCAATAAACTGCTGAGGTCGGAATAAATATAACAAAATGGTCAGTTTTTGTTACCTAAATCCAAGAGTTGTAACCTATCTTAAAATTTTTTTACCTAATTTTAAGATAAAAAGGTCTTTATTGATAGAAACAATAATATAGTATAGGTATGAGATCAAAATGATATCAAAATATATAGGTAATCACAATGAAAAAAAGTCAAAATGTAAAAGATATAAGGTCATGGAGAAGAGTGATAAAGTCGTAACTTGCACTGTACAGTACAAAAAATAAAAGCTCATGTTTCGTACTATATAGTACATACACACAAAGTTCATATAAAGCTAAAAGGTGTTAAAACTAAAGTTTAAATATTCTAAACATTATCAAAGCCTATAATGCATATACAGTACTGAACAATACCTAAAACAAAAATTCAAATACAGTACTACATAGTACTAAAATACAAAATCACTTATAGTACTAAATAGTAGATAAAATGAAATGTAAGGTGACGTGCTACATAGCACCCCACCAGGGACGTCGCTACGGTTTTTCTCTGGGGGGGGAGGTCGAAAATTTTTTTTAGGTCCACAGCTACCTGTGGACCGATTTTTCAAAAAAATTTTTTTTTCGTTTTTTCGCGTACAGGTACCTACCTGTGGAATATTTTTTTTCGGATCGGCTCTGGGAGGGTACCCCCCCCTCCTGCCACCCACCCCAAACGACGTCCCTGCACCCCACCAAAAAATTTCAATTATAGTATTATACTATTATATATAGTACATGAAAGAAAATTTTAGGTAGTGTGCTATATTGTAACACAACGAAAAAATTCTAGTTCAGTGCTATATAGTACATATAAAGACTTACGGATGACGTGCTACATACTACCTCATCAAAAAATTAATGATTCGTACTATATAACCAAAATTAAAAAATTCAGGTATAGTACTGTATAGTACCAACAACAATATAGGTATCGTACTATATATCACCTATATCTTATATACAGGTAAATACCTAAATATCCTCGTCATTTCGGTTCCCGATGAGTAGATCTTGCTGACAATCCAAAACATTGGGTTCGTTGAGTAGTTCTCGTAACTCTTCCACATTCATATCTTCTGCCCTCTCTACCAACACTCGACATGCCCATGCCTCCATGGCTGCGATTCCGAGGTAATGAGCAAAGTTGGCTGCTCGGATTATCGTGTTGGACTCGATGTATTTGGCTATAAACACTGCGTCTTCGTTGTTTTCGATCTGGAACAGTGAGTAATAGTAGGGCAGGACTAGGGATGATGAAGCATTATAGGTGGGGTAAGAGAAGATAGGACAGGATAGGATAAGGTGGGGTAGAGATAGGGGCATGGTAGGATTAAAGGCAAGATTAGAAGCAAAGTAAGGGTCAAGGGTCAGGGGTAGGGGGTAGGGGGTAGGGGTAGGGGGTAGGGGGTAGGGGGTAGGGGGTAGGGGGTAGGGGGGTAGGGGGTAGGGGGTAGGGGGTAGGGGGTAGGGGGTAAGATAGTATAACATGCCAAGATATCAACTTACAAACCACTTAGTCCACCACGATATCTCCTCTTCACCGTGCCGTTTCAACGCCCCCGGGAAGAAGAAGACCATGCCATGAATGAACTGTTCCAGTATGATTCCATCCTTTACTCCGAACATTTTATCGATCAAAACGTGAGTGAATCGTTTGTTTTCGAGCAGTTTCAGTCGATTTGACATGTTAGCCATGGGTGGGGCGATATGAAGACGCTCACCGGTCGAAAAATGAAGCACGAATCTTGGTGCTAGTGGGTCGAAGCGGACTTGCTACAATTTTTTCACTTTAAAAATAATTTTTTAATTTTAAAAATCAATTTTCATTTATTAAAATTTCAAAAAAAAAATTTTTTTTGTTTGCACTGTGCAAAAAATAAAAATTAAAAAAAATAAAGCTCACCTTTCTTTTCGATCTGATAATCAACCGTCTAACCTTGAACCAAAAGTTCTCGCCCCATTCCAGGTATAAACTGTCATCAAAGTCCTGTGGCAGCGATGGCAGCCAGCATCGACTGGCCTGTGGGCTGTTTCCACTCAATAAATTTCGCTCTTCCTTCAAAATGCCATTCGTTTTTTGTTCTAAAATGATAAATGTATCTAGTTAAAGTAAAAAATATATAAAATGTAATCATTGTTGTTGTAAAATTCTAAAAAATTTTTAAAAAACTTCAAAAATAACATTTTGGAATTTTGGATTTTGGTCCCAGCACGAAAACCTTTTAAAAAATGTATTTTAGCTTCCTTTATTAATTGCCAATAAAAATATTTTAAAAAATCATCAAGAAATGCAACATTTTAACAAATCCCCTCATAAACAAGGTTTTCGTGGCGGAACCAAAAATCAACATTAACAAATTGCCATTTCTACATTTATAAATTGCAATTTTAAACCGTGACAGTAATAATACCACAACCACACAAAAAAATGCCCAAATTGTAACAACTTTGCCAGCTGATCAGGCTTTTCGTGATGGGACCAAAGCAAATTTTCACAGAATCTGCGATTTTCAACCTTTTATAAACCAACAAAGCTTACTACTATAGTCATTTTCAATATGACCATAACAAGAAAAATCATTTTTAACCCCCTCCTCTTCTCATGGTCCCTACCCCCCCCACCCTTCTTAAAGATTTCTTACCACTTTTCCCATCCTCATCCCCCAGGTCATAAGTGACATTTTTCATTTTGAACGGTTTCAACGATGCGTCTATTGAATTCCTAATGTTCTTATCGCTCTTTAATGGTACACATGTGCCATCGTCGTTCTCAATCAGCCCATACTTATTGGCTATGACCTTTCCGATGGCTTCTTTCGTCGCCGGCGAATCTAAAACAACATCCATTCGTTGGACGGTCTCTTGGAGGTAGTCACGTTCGTAGTCGGCACGTTGGTCCAGTTTCTTTTTGCGCCATCGCCAGCGACGGCGGTAGTTTCGCCAGTGGTGAATACCTACAAATTTTTGGTTAGTTTGTTTGGTTACTGTAGGTCTACCGTAAGCTCTACTTTGCTTACCCTATTCTACCCTACCCTACACTCTACTTATTCCAACCCTACCCTACTTTACTCTACTCTACCTTACTCTACCCGCTCCTATCCTACCATACCTACTTCAACCTCTTAAGACCCTTACTATCTACCTCTAACCTACTACAATATTCCTAAAACCTCCCAAAACTAGTATTACCTTTAGGTTGAAGCCAATTCTGATTGCTCTGCACATCATCGTAGTACAGTTCGCCTCTCCATGGGAAGGGTATCTTGCCATCGCGGCCGATATTCTCGTAGATATGCTCATCATCTTCATATAGATGGGAAGTGGATGCATCACAGTTCGGTAAGCTCATTTTGGGATATGTTTAAGCAGGTGGTTCGCATGATAATGTGCTTCACTTATTTATGCCACATTATTGTTCTGTCATCGTATAAAATGTCGATTTTAACTATTTTTGGGAAGTGTTACCTAAAAATATTTTTGTTATATTCCTAGTCCAAAATTAGCCTCAGATTAAAAATTTGTCCTTAAAAACTCTAGTCACATCCATATTTGTCTCAAAATAAAATTTTTTTGTCACATTCATCTAAAAATGTCATTCTTCATATAAAATGTCAACTGACCGACAAATTCATTCAAAAACGCCCCAAAATGTCAAAACATAACTTAAAATCGATATCAACTGCGGCATTTACCGTCATATTTCCAATATCACCCATTCAATTTCCCAAAAATTTATTTTTCAACAAAAAACAATGTCCTAAAATCGTCTAAAAATCCATAAAATCAGTCGTTTCTGTGCTTTAAAATGTCCAAAATGCTGTCATCGGCGGTGAATTTGCCTTTTCGATGAAAGTATGGTGTTTCTTGCTTCAATCCGTACTTTTTCAACTGTTCGTTTGATGGGAATGTCAGGCCTTGTGGGTATAGGGACTAAAAATGGCAAATCAAATTTTAAAAAAAAATTTCAAAATTAAAAAAAAATTTTTTTTTAAATTTTCGTAGTAAAAACAAAAAAACTTTAAAATCCTCTAAAACAACCAAGAGTACCAGTATTTTCAACTTACAGCCGCTGTATCATCAGTTGTGACATGAGAAACGCGTCCAATCATCGGTATGACATATTGTTCGCCTAGCTAAAAAAAATAAAAATTTTTAGAAAAAATATAAATAAACCAGCTTAAAAATGTTTAAAGCTATCACAAAACCAATATAAAATCCTTTAAACTTTAAAATCAACTGTAATATAACACTTTTAGAGAACCGCAAAATACCCGGAGTGCATTGCTATATATTCTTAACAAAAAACTCCAGGTATTTTTCGGTGGTCTAATATCATGTATATCTTGCAAATACAATCAAATTAAAAACAAAAATAAGATAGAATAACATCTCTTTCTACTGAATATTACTGTTTTCAAACTTACCACAATGTAAAATCTGAACAATTTAGCTTCTTGTTCAAAGTCCGGACCAGATATCGCGCTTTCTGATGGCAAAACAATCGTATTTGGGGGTGCAATGATTTCCTAAAAGATTTTCATTGCTAAAACAAATCTAATAGGATTGAACTTCTACAAAAAAATCAAAAATTAGCGTAGGATTACCTAAAATCTTCAAAAAATTTTAATTTAAAAAATATGATGTTACCTTTTCAAACAACGATGCACTGACTATTTCCGAGCTAATCTTCCATTTATTCTCCATTGAAACGTGCACTGGTACCAATTCTTTTAGGAGCTTTCTACCCAGCACCAGATATTCGTATGGTACCCGGATTCTGGCTGCTAATTCTTCTTTCATAACCTAAAAAGGGAAATATTAACGTTGTTTTTTGTAACAATTTTAAAAACCTTTAAAATTAGAAGCAGTACATTGAAAATCATAAACAACGCCATTTTTTGTTACACCACAAGTATGAAAGCTATAAACTACTAAATATATGAAATATATAACATTCTTTAAAATAACTTTAGACAAAATAATACCTCTCGTTTCTTGCCATAATACTCCAAATCAAACGGCGATGCATATACTCCTTTCTTTGGTAGCAGAACACTTTGATGTGCTTCATTTCGATTCAATTCTACAACGTCAAATTGATGGCCGATACCTAAAACACCAATTTGATAGTATACCCCCAATAAAAACGTTTATATCATGCAACCTAGATATTTTTAAGCCGTAAAGTCTTTCAAATACCTCAAGATGCTTATATCAAAACAACTAAAAACCAATTCAAGCTTCTGAAGCCATTTTCCGAACTAATATCATGTTATCCATCCTAAAAGCAAATAATAAACACAAAGATTTACCTTCCACATCCTCCAAAAGAATCACTTTAACAGGGCTCACTTTATATTCAACAGGTCTTCTTAAATGCTCATATTTTTGCAAGTTCTGAAGGTCGGGAGGCCGTTGACATTGCCCTTCCTCTACTGCTGGTGGAGCATATACGTGCCGCAAGACGTGGACGCTCTAAAATACAAATATTAAAAACAACTATGCAAAACTACTAAAATACATACTTTCTAACATTTCCTATAACAAATTTTATAAAATAAAACCAGAATAAAGGCGAAACAAGAGTACTCTTATATTATACATCCAAAAGAAGAACTATAAACCTCATTTCCTCAAAAACAAACCTAAAAGCCAAAAACTAAATTATAGAATATCTTACCCTTGTTAAATTAATCCTTCTGGCCAATTTTGGGAGCAAATTGCTTGAGGTGGCCATAATTATTCCTCTGTTTCACAGCAAAACATTAGAAAAATGTCGAATTTTAGAGAAACCGAGTCACGTCTTTCTTTACGATATTTGAGTGTCAAGTTTTTTTCTAACAAAGTTTTATCCACATTTTTGCAAATTGATCTTGTTTTTGGTATACCCGGCTTTTTCTTTGTAAGTTAGTGTCTTTTCTATCTTTAAAAATTAGCTTTCGATTTATTATTTTAGTTTATCCTTCTTACCTTTTTTTTATAGACTCTCGTAGAAGATCTTATCGTTAACATAAATATTATCTCAAAGACTTGTATATTCCAGAAGAATGAACGCTCCAGAAGGTTTTGAAGCCGATGAAAGGGCGAATGAAGCTGCACGACGCGATTTTCTGAAAAGATTGGTACAGGCGGTTCCAGCCAAAGTCCCTTTGGATTATTGTGGGACCAAAAGGATCGCTAATCAACCAGTGGATGATAAGGGATGTGCCGTGCCAGTTTGGCATGGAAACTTTACTCCAGTCGAACAAGAAAGGTCAGTATTTTAAGATTTTTGTTTTAATTTTAGGTTTAAAAAACGTTTGTGATACTTAGCGGCTAGTGAAATGATATTGTGTACTTGTTTGATAGTAGTATGTAAAAATTGGTGTGGCTACCCAATAATGTTTCAAAAGTTTCAATTTTAGGCTTGTTAGAAGCACAATTAATTTGGTTAGATGGTACTAGGCATTGAGTTGATAGTCTTTTAGTACAGTATTCAAAAAATGATATTGTTCAAGAAGCTTCCATCTGATGGTAGTGGGTTGGGGAAATAGCTGTAGCTTGATGAATACTAATTGAAATTGGACAGTTTTAGTTTTTTTAGGACAAGAGCATGCTTTTTAAATTTATTATGGCTATTAAAAAGGGTTTTAATATATATTTCTATCTAAATTCCATTAATTAATTTACAATATACCTATTTCAGTCTTGGAGTTGGATGTCGACGCCAGTACTACGAGGACATGAAGGCTGCAGCTAAAGAAAACTACAAGTTTTTTCCATACTGTCTTGATATGAAAGTGACAATCAGCGGAAACTCCAATGTTTCTAACAAGCGACAATAATCACGATCTTATATTATCATTGATGTAAAAATTTCATTGCGTATACTGCTTATGTTTTAACGGGTCTTTTTTTAATTTTTTGGTGCTATATTATTTTTTACTTTAATATTCGTCATACCACTCCACTTTTTTTGTATTTATTATTTATTTTTCTGTTTATATTATCTTTTAAACAACACCGTGCTGAAATAAAAAATGAAGTTTCTGTGGAGTTTTCTTTAATTTTTAGTGTTTAGACACAAAATTATATTGTAATTGTTTGTTTCCATGATTTTTAGGCTTTTTGAAGGGCTTTTTAGGGGTATCATTGATATTGTAGTATATGTTTTTGATCAAAAAAACTGTTTTTTTTGGAATATTTTTAAGATATTGTCGTTATTCTTGATGAATAATATATTTCTGTTTTGTTTTTCCCTAGTACTATATAGTACGAAGATGGTTTTCGGAATAGTATTACAAATAACAGTCGTTTTCAAATTTAAAAAAATTTTTGAAATTTTGCTATGAAAACACCCCTAAATTTAAAAACCCCCTTTTCCACCCTCTATATTTACAAGGGCTGTTTACAAATTTTAATTCGAAAGTTATTGTAACAGACGGAATGGTATCTTTATCATTTTTTGCGTCGATGATAATGAATCGACTTTGCAGTCCGAAGTTTTATTGTTTTACTCACGTTTTCCGCTTTTGTCATAGGGTTTTCATTGAAATTGGTACAAGCTGAAGGAATGGTTTTGGCTTTTGGTTTTTTATGCAGGCTATATGTTGCGAACTTCGGTTGATTTTTTTAATGTCTAGGCTTAACTTTTTAGGCTTGTAGACTGGGATTTTTTTGAAAGTTGCCAGGCTTACGGGCTTTCTGTTTTTGAAGCTTGGCCTTTAGGCTTGGGCTTTTGCAGTTCAAGCTTTTTGGCTTGGGCTTCTGGGTTTAGGCTCCTAGATTTAAGCGTCTATGCTTATGTTTTTAGGCTTAGGCTTTTAAATTTAGGCTGTTAGGGTTACGTTTGGACCACTAGATTTTGATTTGGGTCTTTTGGCTTGCGCTTCTGGGATCAGGCTTTTAAGTTTAGGCTTCTAGAGTTAGGCTTCTAGAGTAAGTCTTCTAGAGTTAGGCTTCTAGACTTAGTCTTCTAGGCTTAGGCTTCTAGAGTTAGGCTTCTAGTCTTGGGTTTCTAGACTTTGCAGGCTTCATATCTATGACAATTTCCTGAAATATCTTTCGTAAATGTTGCAAAATACGACAATATAACGAAACAAAGTTTAAAGCGCGTTCAACTGATAAGATAATGGATCAAAGTATACATATGACTCTTTTGAATGTTTTTTAAAATTGTTTTTTAATTTTTTGATTTCAGAGTTTTTTTTTGTTTTTAAAATTGAAAAATTACCTATTTGAAAGTAATTTTAGTAATAAGAATTGTAAGATCAATGTTTTTTCTAAAAAAACTGGTCGTAACTTCATTGATTGATAGTTTATCTTATCGTTAATGTATGTCTTATTTAGAACAAAGTCTAGCCTCTAAGTGCACAAGCACTTGTGACCACAGAGAACGTTTTGTCATGGTCAATGTAACATAAGCTTTTGAGTATCTGAGTAGGGTAAGATAGGGAAGGGTAGGGTAGGGTAAAAGATGTTTGGGTAAAGTAGGTTAATGTAGGGTAGGGTAGGGCAGGGTACGTTGGGGCAGAGAAAAGCAGGCTAAGGTAGTGTAGGGTAGGGTAGGACAAGGCAGGATTCCTAGCCCAGAGCCTTAGCTCAGAGCTCTAGTCCTAGGGATTGGCCCTAGGCCTAGTAGCCGACCTTAGTTCAATAAGTCAGCTCTAGTCCTAGCGACCAACCCTAGTTCCTAATCCCAACGATCAGTTCAAGCTCTAGTCTTAGCGGCTAGCCACAGCTCCAGCGGCCATTTTTTTTGCACATTTATGGTTTTTAAGGGAAAATTGCACGGTGCAATTTTAAATTTAAAAAAATTTTTTGAAATAAAATTTTAAAATTACCTTTAATAATCAAGGAAGTTTCAAAAACTTGTTTACAATTATTAAAATGTTATCGATAAACAGCGTGTTTATCATATTTCTTATGATACTTGGAAAAGAAGTTTGATTTCAATTATTGGGTTTACTAAACTATTAGTTATATTTGGGGTAGTGTTTGATCCTTAAAGAATTATTAATTTAAGCTTGAGGCTTAAGCTTCGAGACGTAGGTTTCAAGGCTTTTAGATTTAGGCTTTTAGTCTTTAGTGAAGCATGTTGTCTTAGATTTTAAGGTGCAAGGTCTTTGATTTGAGCTTAGATACAGGACTTTTAACTTTAGGTTTTAGGCTTCCAGATTTAGGTTTTAAGGTCTACGGTCAAGCTTAGGCTTCTAGTCTTAGGCTCCTAGACGTAGGCTTGTAGGCTTATGCTTCTAGGCTTAGGCTTCTAGACATAGGCTTGTACGCTTATAGGCTTAGGCTTCTAGGCTTAGGCTTCTAGGCTTAGGCTGCTAGGCTTAGGCTTCTAGACATAGGCTTGTAGGCTTATGCTTCTAGGCTTAGGCTTCTAGGCTTAGGCTTCTAGGCTTAGACTTCTAGGCTTAGGCTTCTAGGCTTAGGTTTCTAGGCTTAGGCTTCCAGGTTAGGCTTATAGGTTTGGGATTCTAGGCTTAGGCTTACTGGCTAATTTTTTATATTTTTTCATTAAATTATGCAAATTTTTGCGTGTTTTGCCATAATTTTCACTTTTTTTCAAAACAATTTTTAAACTTTTTGAAATAATGTCATTTTCTGGTTATTTTCAGCTAGCGTTTGCTTGGGACTGGTCAAGTGTCTGTGTTTTCACTTTCAATTAAAATGACTTCTATGATTCTCAGCAAGTTCGGCCGCGCCTTGGCTCAGCGATCTCATTTCCGTTGTTTTTCCACCACACCCAGCCTTCTTGGTAGGTTAATATAGATGCTTAGGCTGATTTTTGGAAGTTTAGGGCTAGGACTGGCTTATTTTTGATGAAGGATTGGTAGGGTAGGGTAAAATTTTGAGGGAGGGGGGGGGTATGTGAAAGTGGGGTAAAAATTGAGAGTAGAGCGGAGTTTTAAAGGAAGGGTAGGGCAAGTAGTTTAGATTTTTTGGGTTAGGGAAAGGCAAGTCAGGTTTAAATTTTTTAGGGCGGGGTGTTTTAGGGTAAGGAAATATGGTGAGGGCAGGGTACTTAAAGGTAGGGTAGAATTTATAGGGCAGGGCTGAATTTTAAGGATGTTTTTGTGGGTAGGCTTGGGTAGAAATATAAACACAAGGTCGAGTAAGGTAATAAGAGTTCAGGGGGGATGGAACTTTTGGCTATGGCAGATTTTTGAAGCCAGGCCGGGGTAAATTGGAGTAAGGTGTCAGCTAGATAAGACTAGGGAAGGATATGGTAGGGCAGGGCAGGGCAGAGTGGGTAGGGTAGGGCCAGGTAGGGTAGGGCAGAGTGGGTAGGGTAGAGTAGGGTAGGGTAGGGTAAGGTAGGGAAAAAAACAAAAATTTAAAATTTTTTAAATTTGAAAAATACCATTTTCAGACAGATTCTACACGAAAAAGCACGAGTACATAAACGTGAACGGAAAGAACGGCACGGTGGGAGTGTCGGACTATGCTCAAAAACAACTTGGCGATGTTGTCTATGTGGAACTGCCGGAAAAGGACGCCCAAGTAGCCAAAGAGGACAACGCCGGAGCCATCGAGTCAGTCAAGTCGGCCTCGGACATCTACACACCCGTCTCGGGCCGAATCACCGACGTGAACGGAGAGCTGGAACAGAAACCTCAACTCATCAACAAATCACCATACGAACAAGGTAGGGTAATATAGAGGGTTAAGTGGGCTTTTTGGAGGTAGGGTAGGGCGGGGTAGGTTTGTATGGGTAGAACAGGACAAGGTAGATTTTTAAGGGTAGAACAGGGTAAGGAAGGTTGGGGTATGGTATTTTAGAGCAGGGAAGGGTACTATAAGCGTAAGCCTACAAAGCCTAAGCTTACTAAGCCTAAGCCTGCGAAGTCTAAGCCTACTAAGGTTAAGCCTACTAAGCCTAAGCTTACTAAGAAATGTAAGCCTATATGAGTTAGACAAAGAACATAGGGTCCAAGCCTAATATTTAAGCAAGATTGCTTACTATAAGAAGCTAAAACCTAACAGCGTAAGCCTAAAAGCATAAGCCTAAAAGAATAAGCCTAAAAGTATAAGCCTAAAACCATAAGCCTAAAAGCTTAAACCTAAAAAAGATTTTTTAAATTTAAAACTTTTTTTTAAATTTTAATGCCCATTTGTTTTTAGGTTGGATATTCAAAATCGAGCTGACACAACCCGAGGAACTGAAGGATCTCATGGACGAAGCCGCCTACACCAAATTCCTCGAAACCGTCGACAGCGAAGAATGAACAAACCCAATTCGAATTTCCTAGTTTTCTAAATAAATCAATTGTACATCACATGGAGTCTGCTTTTTTCACTGCTTATTGGCATATTTTTACATTTTTATTGTTTTATAAACATTGCACCGTGCAAAGAAATTGCTGAGAGACTGCACTGTGCAAAGGACTGTTGTATGACTGCACTGTGCAAGAGAGTCAAAAAAGTCTGCACCGTGCAAAATATTTATAGCAGACTGCACCGTGCAAAAAGAAATAAAAAGCATTGCACTGTGCATGAAACCAAAAATCCTGCACCGTGCAAAGAAATTCTTAAGCGACTGCACCGTGCAAAGGACTGTTATATAACTTCAATGTGCAAGAGAGTCAAAAAAAGTCTGCACCGTGCAAAATATTTATAGCAGACTGCACCGTGCAAAAAGAAATAAAAAGCATTGCACCGTGCAAAGAAATTTTTAAGCGACTGCACCGTGCAAAGGACTTTTAAATGGCTGCACTTTGCAACAAAAATGTTAAGAGACTGCACCGTGCAAAGACGCTATTATTAACCCTTAAAATTCAAATTCAACCCTTCCAAAATGAAAAAAAAATCTTTTATAACAACAACAAGTAACAACAACAATAAAATCAACCGAAAATGTAAAATTGAAACAAAAACTTCAAAAAATCAATATTAATATAAGCCTATATTAACATAATTCGAATGTCAGGCTTTGCCGACGGCTTCGAGTTGTTTTTTCAATGTGTCCAAGGCTTTTTGATATTGTTCTTTGAATTCGTCGATGAATTGTTGGTCGTTTTCTCGGGTTTCGGATTCTGGATCCCAGATTCCCACTTCCAGGAGGTACTTTTTCAATTTCAGCTTCTGTAAAGGGGGCAAAATGAAAATAATTTTTTTTTAATTTAAAAATTTTTTAATTTAATTTTTAAAAATTTTCAAAACCTACCTGCTCCTTCGAGACCAACGTGACCACCGTTCCTTTCTTTCCAGCACGTGCTGTTCGGCCAGCACGATGAATATAGAGTTGAGAATTGTTGGGTACGTCGTAATTCATGACACAATCAATGCCTGGAATGTCCAGACCTCGGCCCAAACTGCCGGCTGAGATAACCACATTAATCTAGAAGAATATTGTCATTAAAAGAGAAGTTTAGGTAACAAACAAGGTTCAAATCATATTTTAGGTCATAAAAATCCGAAAAATTGTTATTTTAGGTAATAAAAATACAAAAAATTTCACTTTAGGTAACAAAAATACAAAAAGTTTAATTTTAGGTAACAAAACTCACATTTCCTTCCTTGAAAGCCTTTAGAAGCCGAAACCGTCGCCTTCCGTAGACATTCGATGAAATTTCAGCAATTCTCATGTCATTGCCACATAAATGTTCCAGAAGGATCTTTAGTCGCTGTGAGTTCACTCTAAAAAAAGAAAAATGTTAAGAAAAGTTAAGTTATAAGCCTAAGATTAAAGTTTAAGCCTAAAATTCATTTTTAAGCCTAAAATTTCGTTTTTAAGCCTAAAATTATATTTTTAAGCCTAAAATTTTATTTTTAAGCCTAAAACCGCTTTTAAGCCTAAAATTTAATTTCTAAGCCTAAAATTTTATTTTTAAGCCTAAAATTTCATCCTTAAGCCTGAAATTTTATTTTTAAGCCTAAAACCGCTTTTAAGCCTAAAATTTAAGTTCTAAGCCTAAAATGTCATTTTTAAGCCTAAAATTTCATCCTTAAGCCTAAAATTTTATTTTTAAACTTAAAATTTCGTTTTTAAGCCTAAAATGTAATTTCTAAGCCTAAAATGGACTTTTAAGTCTAAACCTATAAAATATTAACTTACGTTGTATTTACAAAAACTAAAACTCGCTTCCAGGTTGGATTGTCTTTCAGGTACTTGTAGATAATCAATGGCTTAAACTCGGGCTTGCAAATCCTCTAAAATCAACTTTTATTACCTAAACTTTCAAAAAATTGTCTTTAGACTTCTTATCAAGTTTTTTAGCCCTATAACTATATGGAAAGCCTTTATAATCTCTTACAACTTCTTGTTTTAGCCTTTGAGGTAGCATAAACTTGGTCACATCCTCATTATCCCCATCTTCTCCATCAATTTCCATCTTTTCTTCCTGCCCATCATCACCAACAACATCTTCTTCCTCTTTCACCGCAGCTTTAACATGCTTCACCTTATTTACAGAAGCTCTATAAAGCTTTGGACATCTCAAGTTCCAATCGTGTAGCTTATCAGCCTCCAATGACAATGTCGCTGATACCAATATCTTCTGTAATCTGGTGTTCTTCGTGAGATCTGTCAAAGCTTTGTAGCTCATTGTGTGTGTTTTTGGATAATTCGCCATGTTCTCAATCAATTGTAAAAAGCTTTCTCTCGGCATAAACATTCCATCCGCTTCGTCTACTACAAGATAACGCAGCTGGCTGAAATTGAAGCGACCATTGTCCTGGTCCAAAATGTGTTTTACCAAACGTTCTGGTGTTGATATAACAACGTTGACTTGAGCTGAAGCGGCGTCATTTGGAAATAACACTCGTTTCTCTTCTTCAAACGACAACTTTGAATGCAATGCCAATATTTTTGCATCAAACACGTTCAATTTAGAGAACTCCTAAAGAAAATTGCTTTCAGAAGATTTACCAAACCTTTACCTAGACATTGAAACAAAAATAAATGGAAAAAACTTACATTTTCAATCTGAATTACCAAATTTCTGACTGGAGCCAAGACCAAAGCGAATATCTTGTTACTGCTCGGTAAAGGTTGACTGACAGCAAAACTGTTTAAAATTGGCAACAAGTAACACAAAGTCTTGCCACTTCCAGTCGGAGCACTAATAGCAATGTCCGATGTTGGTAAAAGCGAACTCCGGATATTGTCTATGAGCAAGCTTGGTAAAACCGACTTTTGCACTGGAAACCACAAACTTATCTGCCTTGAAACCGCCTCAAAAAGCTTGTCATGTAAACCAGGAAACTGTTCTATACCATCTCCTTTTCGTTTCGAAATTTTACCATCAAATTCAACAGCATTTTCTGCCCATTTCGGAACCGACCTAAACAATAGAGAATAGACAAAGGAAAAACTCACGTTAGCTTGGCAATATCCTTGAATAAATGTGCCCCAAGAACTTTAAAAGATGGCTCTTCCTTCTGTTCTACAGTTTGTTCGTCTTCAGGAGCGTCCGACAAGTTTCCGTCTGAGATGTTGTCCCATTCAGGGTAACTAAAACAATATAAAACAATGAAACAAGTCGCTTACCAGTCAAAGTCAAACTGTAGCTCATCTGAAACATTGATAACCATCTGACAAGGATAATTTTAGTTGTTTTTATAGTAAAAGAAGGTTATTACATCCAAAAATGTAATTTACAAATAATTTTTCTCCAAAAAATAAGGTTAAACACAATGCCACAAAAGCTTTAGCACATGTTTGCTTTCGTGCCAAGACTCTGCGTGAGTTGCAGTGTTGTCTTTTGATTTATTGTTGTCGTCACAAAATCTGGAAAATTGTTGTTGGATTTTGTCAATCGTTTATGTAAGTCTTGCTTTTATCGTAAAGGAATATATTTTACATTGCTTTTTAGTTACATAGAGTGCTAACAACGTTTTGATGGATTTTTGGGAATATTATGGAATGCAATATTATGGGGCTCCGCCAGCTCCGGAACGTGGTCCAGAAGGTAGATATTTCAAAGAATTCTAATATATAACTTTTCAAAAATTTTGTAGTTTTTGTAAATTTAAAGGTTCTTTAGGTATTAAAAAAGTCTTGTCGCCAATGTGTATATATTTGCTCGGTTAAAAACGACAAAACTTTTTGGCTGTTTGATTTTGGGTTTTTTCCTTTACTTTTTCTTATTGTTTTTTTTTAATTTTTTAAGGTTTCAATGATTGAACAAATTTAGGCTTTAACCGCTCAGCCTCAGGCTACGAGCCTCCGCCGCCAAGTTACGAGCATCCACCTCCGAGCTACAATCAGCTAAACTACGATCCAGCTTCGTATGCTCCATGTGAAGCTGTTGCAGCCGTTCCAAGGCCAAAAATCGAGACTTATGCTGAATTTGAGGGGCATTGTCAACCAGTTAGCTATGATGAATATGGAAGATCAGCGGAATCGGCCGGCTATGTTGAATATCAAAGAGAAAAGGCTTTGGCTGGCTATGGTGAATATGAAAGAGAGAAGGATCTTGCTGGTTATGAAGAATATAAAAGAGAAAAGGAAAAGAATGCCCATGAGGTACCCAAGGAGAAGCCGAAGAAGCAGATTAAGAAGGAGATCAAGCAAGAAATTGTGGATGAATTGCCGAGAAAGAAGAGGAAATACACTAAGAGAAAGAATTTCTTGGAGAAAGAAGCTGAAAAACTTGAAAAAACTCCCAAAAAGAGGGGAAGAAAGAAGAAAGGTAAGGGTTTTTCTTGTGTTATTTCAATTTTTAGGGATGGATTTGATGTTTTTGGATGTTAAAGCGTAAAATACGGATTGAACGTGATGTTTCTATACATAAACCTAGAGATTACGGCATGAATTTCACCTTTTACAATGTGTTTTTTCGATTTATTTTAGGTTTTTGGAGGTTACGTTAGCTTTTCTGGCCAAAGATTTTGATTTTAAAGGTTTTCCTTCAAATTTTAGGTATAAATCAAATTGAAAATTAATTTCTAAATATTTTAATAAGTTGTAGATCCAAGCGCTCCAGAATCTCCACAAAAAACGGAGCCAAAAGACCTGTACAAAGTGTCGCAATACAAAAAACATCGAGATCGCATGTCATATCCGGTAAGTTTTGATGGTTTTAGCCTGTTAGACTACGTTTTATAGCGTTTCTTTCACTTTATAGGTTCTTATATTATATTATACTACATATTCTGATATTTTAGATAACATTTTATTAATTTTCTAGCTATTTTTTGACCAATAACATCCTTTTAAAGCCAAAAAATTGAAATTTTTCAGAAAAACACCTTCCTTCTTCGCTATTCTGACCTAGAACAGAATGATCGTGACTTCATTTGGCTGGTCGATAATCACCAACTTCTTCTCAAGTTTGTTCGTGATTCTCACAAGACTTCCGAACTGACAACGGATGAGGAAAAGACCAATGACATCAAAAGGCATTACTTGCGAACGGATCGGGTGAGTAACATGGGAGTTTTTGAGAAGTTTCATCGACTGGTCGATCAGTTTTTGAATTTTTTTTTCGGTTGATAAAGGAAGCTAGAGGTTTTTTACAGCTAATGGGGTCTGTTGTGATAGCTTTGACGCATGTTATCATTTATAAAATTTAAGTTTAAAATCATACAGTCAGTTTGAGAAAGGTTTTATGAGCTTTTTGAGGAGTTTCGTCGACTGGTCGAGTAACTTCTGAATTTTTTGTGGTTGATGAAAGAAGCTGGGAGTTTTTTATTGTTATTAAGACATGTTCTGATTGCTTTAGGACTTGTTTTAATTTAAAAAATTTATGTTTAAGATTGGAAGCTCAGTTTGAGCAAGGTTTTACGAGGTTTTTGACGGTTTTCATCGACTGGTCGATAAATTTTTTATATTTTTGGGTTTTATAAGGCAGCTAGAAGTTTTGTAAAGCTAATGCGGTATGCTGTATTAGCTACAAGGCTTGTTGTCATATGGAAAATTTAAGTTTAAGGCCTTATAGTCAGTTTAAGAAAGGTTTCACGAGGTTTTTAACGATTTTCATCGACTAGACGATAAATTTTTGATTTTTTCGGGGTTGGTAAAGAAAGCCAAGGCTTTTTTACAGCTATTACGGTATGTTGTAGTAGCTGTAAGGCTTCTTATCATTTATAAGATTTAAGTTTAAGACCTTACAGCCAGTTTCACCAAGGTTTTATGAGGTTTTTGGCGATTTTCATCGACTGGTCGATAAATGTTTGAACTTTTAATTTTATCTACGGTAGAACAAGCTTTTTTTACAATAATATAGAGATTTTTTGCAATGGTAGACCTAGTGGAATATTAAACAAATTTTAAAAACATCTTACGATTTGCTCTGTTTTCAGTACACGGGCTGGTTCTGCCACGAATACTGGGACTACCTCGACTTTTCGGATCGAATCACAGTGGATGGATCAACGAAAATCAGTGTGAATTATCCTAGCCGTGGCGAAATTGAGGCCAAGAGGGAGGAGTTGATGAAGCGACGTGAACTGGAAAAGAAAAACGAAGAAAATGAAGATGAAAATACAAAAGATGATGATGAGAATACAAAGGATGGAGATAATGAAGATGAGAATACAAAAGATGGGGAAAATGATGAGGAGAACACGAAAGACGGAGAAAACTATGATGATAATACAAAGGATGAAGATGGTAATATAAGAGACGAAGATGACAACACAAAAGACGTGGAATACAAGGACGAAGCCTCGAATTCTCCGGAAGAAAACAGCAACGACGCAGCCGAAATTGTGGTATTCGAATGTCAATACGAAGAGAAAAAGGACGAATGAAGCTAGCAGGAAGGATAATATTTGATATTGAGATATTTCTGGTTTTATAACAATGAATTTTAATTATTAATGGATTTTGGAGAAGAATTAGGTTTTTCTTGTCTAGGTTTATCTTATTATTGATTAAAAGTGCAGAAAATGGTATTCTTTGATCAAAATTTTTTGAAAAATGAGTTTTTTTAAATAATGAGGGGAGGAGAGGGTTGATCTACCATCGAAAATTTTTTTTGAACAATTAGACCGGAGTTGTTGCCAAAATTTTTTTTTGGTTTTTGTTTTTTTTGTCTACCCTTCCTTTTTCTCTACCCTCTCTTTTTTTTCTCACCCCTTCCCTGAGGAAACATCTGTAGTGACGTCTCTGGCCACTGTCATTTTTATTTTAAAAAAATTTGTTTGTTTCAGGTTGTTAAAAAAGTCTTGTCGTCAATTGATCTGTATTTATAAGTTTAAAAACGTCAAGACTTTTTTCTGAATGTTTTTGTGTTCTAAAATACCGTTTTTATAGCGCTAAAGATGTATTTTTTGATAGTGTTTATGATGTATTTTGTTAACAATAGTTTTTTAATTACATTTATATTGTCTTTGATTTTGTAACTAGGTATTGTAATTGTCTTTCGTTTAATTTATTGTCATAATATAATTTTATGTGTCTAACATATATTTTTGGATTGTTGTGAAAAACTGTACTTATTTGGTTCTATTTGTAGTGACAATGCGAGCCAAAAAAGGCTTGTCGTCGTTTGGTAAAGGTTTTTATGGTTAAAAACGGCAAGACTTTTTTGATACGTAAACATTATAGAAAAATGCGAAAAATTTAGTGGATCCTGTAAAAAGTTTTAAAAATAATGAATTTAAATGCGAAAAAATTAATGGATTTAAAAAAAAAATTCTCTTGGTTGTAGACTTTTTTTTCCAAAGTTACAGTAACCGACACTGTAATTTAAAAACTTTCTAAAAAATTTTTGGTAGTGCATTTTTTTAATAAGTTACAGTAACCAATACTGTAATTTAAAAATAAAAAAAAATCTTTTAAATTATAAACCCTCGCCTTGTTGTATAATATGTTTATGTACTGTAATATCATGTTGAGATCATAACGTTTAACGAGGATATTTTGAGTCGGAGAGCGGGTATAAATAAACAAAAATATTAACATAGAGTGGGTTAATATTGTACACGGGTGGTTAGAAGTTTGAGTATTTTTGGAACAATAAACAATTGTGGCTCAATAGTAATATAATAGTAATGTAAACAATCTGTTGTGGGGTAACGAGTAATGGTTTTCGATTTACAAGTATGTATAGAGTACAGTAGGCTAACGCGTTGGGATTACGGTAGGGAATAGGGTAGGAAATTAGTGCAGTAAAAGCTGTATGGCTTACTGTAGTAAAGCTAGTAGAGATTATTGTGGTAAAAATAGTATGAATTACTGTGTTAAAGCTAGTACTGGTTACTGTAGTAAAGTCAGTGGAGATTACTGCAGTAAAAACTCTACGGTTCACTGTGGTAAGACCTTACAGGTTACTCTAGTAAAGCCAGTAGAGGTTACTGTAGTAAAGACAGTAGAGATTACTGTGTTAACAGCTCTACGGTTTACTGTATTAAAAACAGTACGGATTACTGTAGCAAGGCCTGTAAATTGCCATGCTTGAACCTGTTACTATAGTAAATCCGGTACGGTTTACTGTAGTAAAGCCGATAGAGATTACTGTAGTAAAACTGTTACGCATTACTGTAGCAAAGCCTATAAATTGCCATGCCTGAACCTGTTACTATAGTAAATCCGGTACGGATTACTGTAGCAAAGTCAGTAGAGATTACTGTGGTAACAGCTCTACGGTTTACTCTAGTAAAACCGGTACGGATTACTGTATTAAAATCTCTACGCTTTGCTGTAGCAAGACTTGTACCTATTACCGTAGTAAAGTTAGTACCGATTACTGTACTAAATACAGTAGAGATTACTGTAGTAAAACCACTACAGTTTAAAGGCCTATACTAATTAATACCTGGTAAAGCCAGTACAATCTACTATAGTAAAATCCCTAAAAACTACCGTAATCAAAACGCATCATGTTACCGTAATAAAAGTATGTATAGAATTTGTATAAGAATAGATATTAACAATGGTTTTTTCGAATAACATCTGGCTGGGGATTAACAATGAGTAGAGGTGTGGGAGCATATATGACTGAAGACAACAATAACAAGAAACAATCGTATAGTAGTAACGTTGGGTGCTAAGTGGGTATATCGAATTGTAGCCTCGAGTACTCGTGCTAAGTGGGTACGAAAATCAACTCGAGTACGAAAAGTCAATTTCTACTGTGGTTATGTACATTTGAATACACTGGTATATAAAAGTTTGAGGAAATTTTGAAATTAAAGGGTTCAAAAAGTCTTGTCGTTAAATTGTATGGCTTTGCAGGGGAAAAAACGACAAGACTTTATGAAATATTGTTGTAGACCTAAAAGTTTGAAGCTATGATAAAATGCGGCTTTAAAAGAAAAAAATAAAGGGTTTTTAAAAAAAGGGTTACTGTAACATAAATTTAGCAATGATAGTACAAACTCGGGTTAAGCACTATCACTACTAGTAGTACGGCTCAGCTTAAGCGCTAAGTTACTGTAACATAAGTTAGATGGCTATCAGGGACGTAGCTAGAAGAAGGAGGGGGAGAGGCTGGATCGTAAAAAATCACTAGCAACACCCCCTAATGGCTATGGTGAAAAGTAGGTTTGAGTAGGGTGGTAGCACAAAAATATATAGTGAGTATGCTGATGGTAGACAAATTTTTTGGTGATAGAGTATATCAACTGTAAAGTGACTTATACGGTCCGCCGATGCATTCTAGGCATGTCTTCAGCGCAGCCATAGCCAGGAAGATGCCCATACCTCAAGTAGTAGCGCGCTTTCTTCGGTTTCTCGTACATTTCTTGAGCGGCGGTTAGGGCACTGAAAGCAGTATTTATTAGTAAAAGTACGGTAGAGCAGGGTTGGGTAAGGTAGAGTATGGTAGTGTAGGGTAGAGTAGGGTAGGGTAAGGTAGGGTAGGGTAGGGTAGGGTAGGGTAGGGTAGGGTAGGGTAGGGTAGGGTAAGGTAGGGTAGGGTAGGGTAGGGTAGGGTAGGGTAGGGTAGGGTAGGGTAGGGTAGGGTAGGGTAGGGTAGGGTAGGGTAGGGTAGGGTAGGGTAGGGTACGGTAGGGTAGGGTAGGGTAGAGTAGGGTAGGGTAGGGTAGAGCATTTTAGGTTAGGGTAAAGTAAAGTAGGGTATTTGAAAAGCCATACCGATTAGTGTAGACTTCGATTCCTCTATTCATGTCAAGGAACGATGCCATCTGCTGCTTAAAGCGGCCATCGTAGCTGCAACGAATTGTGCCGGCGGCGCGGAGGCGGTTCATAACCATCTGAAATTGAATTTTTAAATAGCTGATTGTTCAAATAATTCTGTGCTCCTTTATATCAAAAAGTTGCTTTGAGAGAGGGCTCACAATTTTGTGAACAACATAATATTTGGTCTCTTTTCGACCACAGTACGACCTGTATGGTACTCAAAAACCCTTGTTAAAGCTCTTACCTCCTGACTAACATCCGGCTTAACATTGTGCGTCATATGCTTATCATTATTCGCGGCCCAGAAGCAGATCTCCTTGAAGTTGTTCTTGAAGTCGTAGACCTTCAGCTTTTGCCCGCGCGAAATCCGCTCTCTTTTCGGCGTTACGATGGTATCTTTTCGATTACCAAGCTTGGTCTCCACGTATAATGGGCGATGGCTGACATTTCGTACGAACATGTCGCCATTTGGGTCGGTTCGTACTGTGAATCCGTCCGAGATCTTGTCTCTGAAAGTGGGGAGGGTTAGGATAGGAGTTTAAGGGGGGGGGGGTATATAATAGAGTTTCTAAGGGCTACTGTAGTAAAGCCAGTATGGATTACTGTATCTAAGGGCTACTGTAGTAAAGCCAGTATGGATTACTGTATCTAAGGGCTTCTGTAGTAAAGCCAGTATGGATTACTGTATCTAAGGGCTACTGTAGTAAAGCCAATATGGATTACTGTATCTAAGGGCTTCTGTAGTAAAGCCAGTATGGATTACTGTATCTAAGGGCTTCTGTAGTAAAGCCAGTATGGATTACTGTATCAAAGGGCTACTGTATTAAAGCCAGTATGGATTAACTAACTTACTTATTAAGCTGGACCACCTGCCGAGCATGCTCAAGACCGTCCTCGATCTCCTGGAACTTGAAAACAGTAGGAAGTGTCAAGTTTGGCGGCAACGTTCCAATACCAACAGTTGGTTGTCTTGAATAGAATGAGTCTCCTTTGGCTTCACCATTCTCGTAATATTGAATAGTTGAAGAGAGATCGACTGATGAACTTGAGTCTGAAAAAAATTAAAATTAGTCTTAGTTTTGGGTTGAAAATAGGCTTGAAAGGAGGCTGCCTAAGCGCGGGCTTAGAAACAACTTTAAACGGGGCCAGTCCGAGCCAGGTGGCCCGGCTTTAAATCCAGTTCTCTCTCAGAGCCGCGGCATTTTGGTCTCGCAACGAAAGATTTGGCTTGCAAAAAGGCACATTTGGGTCATAGGGTAAGGTGGGGTAGTAGGGTAGGGTAGAAGAAGTTGGATTAAACAAGTAAGAGAGGAAGAGTAGGGTAGGGCCAAGCTAAAGAAAAATTGGGCCAGAAGGGGGGGGGGGATGATGTGGCACACGAAGGGCCAAGTGCACAGGCCCGAAGCAAGGCTGAGCTCAGCTCGGGCTTCTTACAGATCCTCTCTAATGACCTCTATGTCTGGTATGACCCTGCCCTCACCCCCCCCTTACCCACCTTCTTCCATAGTATCATCTCCCCCCCCTTCTGCTTTTCTAATGACCTCCTTGTTTGTCACTACTTTTTTTGCCCTCAGACCCTTTTGTCCCCCTCCCTCTTCCATGCTTTCCCCCCCCTATTTGCAATCTTCAAAACAAACTTACATATATTAGGCACAGTGTAAGGCTCCACCTGGCCTTTAAACATGACCGAGAGCAAGTCTTTTACCGTTCTATCAATACCATGTGTACCCAGATTCTCAGCGAATTTGGATATTCGGGTAATCACCACTTCCGACGCTTCTGCAGTCATCATTTTGGCTTCATGTATCATGTTCTTCAGATCTCTTGATATGGAATGCTTGTCCGAGTACTGTGATGCTATCAGCAGTCGTTCTGGGCTTCTGACCAGCTGAGTACTTCTACTTTCCAGCTTCTTAACTATGTCAACTACTCTCTTCGTTGGGCTGAGAGCACAGGGAACTTGTAGTATAGGGTTCTTGGAAAGCTCTTCTTCGTTGACCCTTACTGCCACAGTCGTACAGACATCTGTCAACATATCCAGCAAGGCTACAGCAGTGATTGGGAACAATCTACAGAAGGTGTCAAGGCTACATGTAGTTATGTCCAGCTTTTGTTGTAGTCGATTCACGTTCATCTCCATGTTGAAGGAGGTGCGGATGATCAAGTAGGGGTCTTGTCGAGGTTGGTCAACGATGTTTTGTAGCGACTGGCCTTTGTTGTTGGTCGACTGGTCGATACTGATGGGTTTTTGAAGTTTTGGGTCTAGAAGACATTTTTCGGTTTCAGCTAAAGTGCTTGAGGCTAGCTGCTTATGGGTAGCTTTTAGGGCTTCTAGTAAGTGTAATGACCAGTCGGCTTTGCGTTTTGTTGTTAGTCTTTCTTGGTCTAGTCCGAGATTTTGGAAGGATTGTTCAGCTAGGAGTTCTTGGCTTGGTATAGCAGCTGGAGTTTGGTCTAGTCCAAGCTTTTTGAAGGCTTGTTCGTGGCTTTGAACATGTTCATGGCTTGGTATAGCACTTGCTGTCTCTAGACCAAGCTTTTTAAAGCTTTCTTCATCTACATATCCTTGGCCTTCCACAATGTCTTGGCCTTGTACAGCTCTTCCTGACTCAACTACATCTACTGTATCGACTTCAACATCTTCTACCTCATCTTCTCCTTCAGCAAGATCACTTTCAGTTAGCTTTTCTTGATCTTTAAAGCCTTCTTCACCATCATTTTGACCTTCATTGTTAGTTTCAATCAACGGCAGTTCTTTACTCAAAAAGTCGTCATGAAGGCTTGAAGCTTCTTCACCAAGCCTCAAAGGCTCTTCAGTAAGCCTTGAAGCTTCTTCAACAAGCTTCAAAGCTTCGTCACGAAGCCCCGAGGCTTCATCAACAAGCCCCAAACTCTCCTCACCAAGACTCAGCGGCTGCCCACCGTACAGATATGGGTTCACCATGAACTCAGCTGCAGCTGTTAGTGAGCCAGAAGTACTGGCGTCAATTTTGGCTGTCTTGACCACTTGATCAAACATGAGTTGGGCATAGTTATCAGCTTTTTTTCTATCCTCTTCGTCCAGCACAAAGTCTTCGTTTTCAGCACGCTGTAGGACAGGCATATCATCGTTGGTTTCTCGTGTAGTCAGGTCATTGCATAGGTTAGTGAAGCTACTACTTAGGGAAGTTAGGTCATTGTTTCTTAGTGTTAAGTCATTGTTTCTGATAGTCAAATCATTGGTGGTTGAAGGTAAAGTGCTGGTGATTGTAGGGTAGGTCTTGTTGCTCAAGGCAGAGTAGGCTTTGTGGCTTAAGGTAGAGTAGGCTTTGTTACCCAAAGCAGACAAGCTTTTTTGACCCAAAGACGAAAAGTTCTTGTTCTGTGCAGCCACCGTAATCAAATACTGACGAACAGCTTCACGTTGAGATGGAGTCATCAAATCTCCTCCTTCATATAGACTTCCCAGCTCAAAACCATCAAGCTTGGCCTCACTAACACCCCCAGTTTCCGACATGAACTTACAAAAGTTGTAGTTCATCTCAGTCTTTGATGGCTCAGAATAACTACAGCCTGAAGATGTTAATGTAGGTAAAAAGTAGTTTGGGTTGATTGGATTCTGGAACTTGATGTAAGGATGACAGGTTGTTGCGTAGTTGAATTGGTAGCTTTGGGCAACTTGTGGATTCTGAATGACTTGAGAATTCTGAAGCGCTTCTAGCTTTAACTTTAGATTCTGAAGCATTCTTTTGTTCTGGGTTTGTAGCGAGTCTTCACCTTGGTTTAGTTGGGTGTCTATGTTGAGTTGGAGGTCTTGGAGGGTTTCAGATGTTGATTGTGGATTTTTATGGGATTCTAGAGACTCTTGAGCGTCTAGGTTTTGATGAGGATTCTGCTGGGCTTCTGGATTCTGATTGGCTTCTAGATTCCGATTAGCTTCTGAACTCCTCTGAGGATTCTGTTGTACTTCTAGGTTCTGATGATGATTGTGATGAGCTTCCAGGTTTGTCTGAACTTCCAGGTCGTGTTGAGGATTCTGATGAACTTCTAGATTCTTCTGAGGATTCTGTTGGTCTTTGAGATTCTGATGGCCTTCCAGACTCTGAGCTTCTAGATTCAGCTGAAGATTCTTAAAGCTCTCAGCCACCTGAAAGCTCTGTTTATGTTGTTCTACATCATTTCCTCCATCTTCCTTCAAACCCTGCTCACCACCATCAACCTTCTGATTCAGTCCATATCCTAGTCCACTCTGCACGCTAGAAGTCTTCAACATGTCCGAGTAGTCAAACTTAGCCAAGCTATCCGACTGTTGCTTCAGGGCGTAATTCTGAACCCAATTCTTCAACGGTGGCTTAGTGACATCACTGTGCAACGGATCCGGCTTTACCGGTCGATCATAGACTGGCACTACAAACTGGTTCATCTTATGTGAGCCAGCACCAGCCGCAGTCATTTTGTTAATCAGCTCGAGGGCACGATCAACACTGCCTGTTCGCTTCAGATGCTTCTCATCGTGCTCCTTCTTTGTCATAGCCTTGGCATTCCTGTAGGCTTGTAGCATGAGCTCTTGGACTAGCTGTTGTGTTGGTGAGGGTGGAATGTCCAAACTACATGGCGTTTGGGGTGAAGCCAAGCTATGTAGCGGGCTTTGAAGCATCGTCTGGCTTAATGGTGAGCTAAGTAGACTGGAGTACTTCTTTGGAGTACCTGGTACTTCATTGTTACTGTATACATGTGGTGTCTTGAAGCCATCATTGGTCATAAAGTTCATGCTACGCCGAGTACCATCCTCTAGCCGTGATACCTTGCGAGGTGAGGGTGAGGTGGAGCTCTCTATGCTACGTCGTGAGGTCTTACGTGCCAAGCCACTCGAGACACTAGCATTCGAATTCTGTCGAGATCTGAACGGACTGGGCTCGGTCGATGTGGGAGAGTTGGTTTCGGTCGATTTTCGAGATCGTGACGTACTTCCGATGCGTTTCCTTGACATTGGGCTTAGGTCGGTCATGTAGCCAGGGCTTTCGGCCATTTTTTCACGATTCTTCAGCATTTGACCGGTTTCGATGGTCGAAGGTAGTGGAATTCCAGAATCCTGAGTCAGAATCCCTGAATCCTGGGCCAGAATCCCAGAATCTTGAGCCAAAATCCCCGAATCTCGAGCCAGAATCCCAGAATCTCGAGCTAGAATCCCAGAATCCCGAGTCAGAATCCCGGAATCCTGCGCCAGAATCCCAGAATCTTGAGCCAGTGTAGCCATTTGAGCTTGACGTTGTTGTAGCGACTGTAGCACTTCTTGAGAGTTCGGAGCTGACATCTGCAGCTTGGCGATCTGTTGCATCGCTTCTTCCCGGCTGTTTGGATTCTGATAAGAGGCGGATCGACTGGTCGATGTGTGAGGAGGTCTGCCTCGTTGGCCTGGTCGACTATTGGCTAGTCCTTTCGAATTACTGGAGCTGGCTAGTCCGTCGTGAACGGTTTCATCACGGGCTTTGATCGGGTAGTGCTCATCTAGTGCTGATTCTGAAGCTCGACTCTTCTTTTTGTTGTGAATCGGGTCTGGTGGATCGGATGGTAGGGCTTGTTGATGATGATGTCTTGGCGCGGGTTGACGTCTGGCCTTTTCGGTGCCTAACGGGTCTTCGTGCTTTTGGTAGTGCCAAGGGTTGACGCAAACCTAAAACACGTTTCTTAGTTTAGGTTTATTAGAATTAGGCTTAGTAGGCTTAGTTGATTTATACTTAATAGTCTTAAGCTTAGTAGAATTAGGCTTAGTAGGCTTAGGCTTAGGTTTAGTCTGAGGCTTAGTAGGCTTAGGCTTAGGCTGAGGCTCAGTAGGCTTAGGCTTACTGAACCTAAGCGCAGTAGCCTTAGGCTTAGTAAGCTTAAGCTTAGTAGGCTTAGACTTAAGCTTAGGCTTAGGCTTAGGTTAAAGCTTAGGTTTAGGTTTAAGCTTATGCTTAGGCTCAGGTTTAGGCTGACTTTGGATTAAGCTAGCGCTCAGTCTGAAGCTTTGGCTTAGGCCTAAAATTAGGTTTAGGCTTTGGCTTGGGATTCTGCTTAAGTTCAGCTATATTTGCCTTAATCTTTGGCGTATTCTTAAGCGCGGGCTTAAAATTTTAATTTTTGTGTTTGTAAGTCTCGCCACAAAAACCTTTCAAACTTTTGAATACCTAATAAATTATTTTTTCAAATTTTTTACATGGTTTTTGAAGTTTTTAATGTTAAAAGCTACAATCGTCATTTCCAACTGCTAAAAATGACAATTTCTGCAGCTAAATATAGTAAATGTTAATTTACACTCGTTTCTACAAACTTTGGCATTTGAAGCCACGCCCAGTTTAAGATAACGTTTGGTTCGATTACTGTGTAGTAAAGGGCTTGTCAATTGGAATTATAGGGTTTACAACAGAGGCTTAGGTTTAAGCTTAGGCTTACTTTAGGCTTAAACTTAGGCTTAGGATTAGGCTTAGTATGATGGTTTAGTAGGCTTAGGCTGTGTAAGCTTAGGCTTAGGTTTAGGCTTAAGCATATTAGACTTAGCCTTAGTACACTTGGCTTATTAGGCTTATTCTTAGTAAGCTTATTCTTAGGCTTAGTAAGCTTAGACTAAAGTCATTTTTAAAAGTTGCTAAATAGACCTGGATGGCTGAGTTACCGTACGCTCAATACTTTTATTTGTTTAAGAAAAACCTACAGTATCATCCTTTCGTGGTCCATCAGATCCGACACCGGACGTGGGTTGTGGAATATGTCTGCAGTTCTAAAATGAAAAATATTATTAAAAAATCATTTTTAAATTTAAAAATTTAAAAATCTATAAGTTTTTTGTCCGAGACTCTTTCCAAAGAACCTACATTATGAACCTCAAGCGGGCTGGACTCGTTCTTCTTAAGCCCCGGCCATCTGAATATTCTGCCATAGATAATATGAGGGAATCCCTTTCGTCCAGCCACTTGTAATCGTCCATCCAACGTCTTCATAATCGTAATGCATGGGGAATGGCACAGTCCTGCACTCCGTACCACATCGATCAGCGCCTTCACTTCCTCCGGCTTCTCCTTCAGCTTCTTCATCAACGACTCCAGGGCTTTGCGCGAGAACTCCACATCCAAACTGACGTTGTACTTCATGAAGAAGTTGGTCAGAGTCTGGATGGGCTCGTTTGGCTCTGGCACCTGGTTTTCACTGCTAAAGACCGACATTCTTCGCTGCATAATATCTGGATTGGTGGAGCGGCGTGGACGGCCGGGGCCTTTTTTGGCGGGTTCGAGCTGGGAACCTCCTAGAAAACCGGGCGTGGTAGACAAAAACGAGTCGCCAGCACTAAGGAGGGGGTCGTTTTCTACACTGTCTTTGGCTTGGAAGTAGTGTTGAAGAACGGCTAAGAGGTTGGCATCACTTTTGGTTAACATTGACTGGATTTCCTTGTAGAGACACAGCCATTTGTCAAAGTTGTTGCCGAAGATGGAGCGGATTTTGATCAAGTCGTCGGTGGAGTAGGGGTGGAACATGTGGAAGACGTTCAATTTTTGTAGCAGGTTTTTGGTCAAAGGTTCAGAGGCTAGTAGTTGGTCTTTGGCTTGGCTGATTACACCGGCTAGAACGTTGGTTGTGGGGGTTTCTGAGCTTGTAGCAGAGAGGATGTTCTGTAGAACGGCGGATGTAGGGTTGATGTTTTGAAGGGAGCTGGCTGTGGACATGATGTTATGTAGCGAGCTTGCAGTAGGGGCCATGTTTTGTAATGAGCTTACTGTAGACATGATGTTTTGTAAAGAGCTTACTGTAGACATGATGTTTTGTAAAGAAGTCGCTGTTGGGTTGATGTTATGAAGCGAACTTGTAGTAGGGACCATGTTATGAAGAGAACTCGCCGTAGGGCTTAATAACAAGCTCGTGCTGGGGTTTAACAAAGAATTGCTTGTAGGGTTGAGTAAAGAGCTTGAAGTTAGTAGAGAGCTGGTACTCGGGTTTAGCATAGTACTAGTACTCGGATCTAGCAATGAATTTGTTGTAGCGTTGAGAAGGGTACTAGTAGTAGGGTCAAGTAAGGAGCTAGTACTGGGGTCGAGTAGGCTATTGGTAGAGGAGTTCAGTAAGGAGCTAGTAGCAGGGTTGAGTAGGGAGCTTGGGGTAGAGGAGTTAAGTAGAGAGCTCGTAGTACGGTCGAGAAGGGAGCTATTACTAGGGTTCAGTAGACTACTAGTAGAGATAGAGTAAAGCAACTCCGTAGCTGAAGCTAGTCTTGGCCTACTTTGGGCCAAGATCTCTGTAGAGCTCCTCAGGGCTTCAGAGGGGGTCATCAATGTCTGACAGGGATTTGTCAATGAATGGGAGGTCAAAAAGTCTGTAGAATTTAACATTGAGTGATTTGGTGTCGGAAACTCTGTAGAATTTGCTAGGCTAGCCTTTGAACCATGACTTGCCTGATTACCAGTCGATACTTTACTGTTCTCAACAGTTATGTCATCATGATCAACCTCAATATCATCAAAATGATCCCCTTTGGCTAGCTTCTGACTTACCACAGTAGGCTCTTCAATACTACTAGTCTTAGCCCTAACTTCATTGGCCAAGAAGTTGAATATACGATCTTCAGTTACAGTAGATGTCCCAGCAGACGAATATGGCATATCAAAGCTAGTCTTGTGCACCAAAGTACCTTTGTAAAGCTGGCTCGGTAGATAGCCATTCTGAAGCCGCTGAGGAATGGGACGATAGATCTGTGGCTCTTCGGAATCGTGGCTTCGAGCTAGTATATTATGATGTTGTGTGGTGCTTCCGATAGAGCTGGTACGGACGGTGGAATTGGTACGACCGATGGAATTAGTATGACCGGTGGAGCTGGTACTTTCCAAACCACTGGCACGGCCCATACCTTGAAAATTCATTTCAGAATCCGATGCTCGTTGAAGAACTGGCATCGTGTCTAAATCTGAAGCCAGTTCAGAAGGTTGATAACGTCGGCTTTGGTTGGATGTGGATGGTTGAGTTACTGAAAATTTTTTTGTTTAATTTTAAAATTTTTTTATCCCGCTTTATTCTATTTTAGCTTAATTTACCCTATTTTACCCTACTAAGCTCTACCGTATCCTACCGTGCCCTATTGTACCCTACCCTACCGTGCCCTATCGTACTCTACCCCACCCTACCCTACCCTACCCTATCCTACCCTTATTTACCCTACTAACCCTACCGTATTCCATTCTACTCTACAGTACCCTACCCTACTGTACTTACAATAAACATTCTCCTCGCTGGACCCCAGACCCTCCACATCGATCACATCGTTCTCGGTTAGGCTTGACGGTTGGCGTTCGAGGTTGGCGTGAGAAGTTGACGGCTCCACCGAATGCTCAGGCAAGCCGGCCTTGTCGGACGTCGCTTCCGACATACGTGAGCTTTACGCTGAAAAACAAGATATTATACTAGGCAAGGGTAATTTTTACAAATTTTATCCACGAAAATTCAAATTTAATGGCTTTAGCCTTAGTCTTAGTCTTAGTCTTAGCTTTAGTCTTAGACATAGTCTTAGCTTCAAAGTTAGCCCGCTACATGTTGACATGAGAAACGGGCCGGGCCGTCCTTGAGCAAAATTTCGATCGGTCCGGGTCTGAAAATTGGGCCCGGCCCGTATCTCATTTCTAGCTACATGCCAATGTAACAAAACGCGTTCAAAACACGCCGAACACGTGACAGTAAACCCCCCCCTTCTCCTCGCAAATGTAACAAAAAACAACCCCAATACGCAGTACGGTGAGCACGAGAAAACAAAAAAACGCGTCCTCGTACTCTGCGAATTAACATGAATGACAAACACGTCGCGTTGTTGACCAAAACAATGTCAAAGCGAACGGAAAACAATTAAGAATTCGGGCTCTAATGGCTGTCGGAAGTATTACCCGACATGGCAACATAATAAGTGCTGTTTTCGATTAAACACGGCCGAGGTACTCGGAAGGAATGCCACTCTTTCGCTATGAGGAAGAATGTCATGTTTTTTGCTTTGAGAAAAAAAAGGCATTTTTGTATTAGGGTGTGAGAGGAAATGGCACTTTTTTAATATTTTTGGAGTAAAATTGGAAAAAAATAGGGTTTTTGGTCGATTTTGGTCGATAAAATCAAGGAGAATTAAGCAAATGGGATCAAAATTTCAGAAAAGATGACCAATGACATTATATACCTAACATTATAAAAAACATTTATTTTATAACACCCGATTTAATAAAAAATTTTTAAAAAGTTTGAACGTGATCCCCCCTGTTGATTAGAGTTTTTGGTGGATTTTAGTCGATAAAATCAAGGAGAAAGAAGCAAATTGAATAAAAATTTAAGAAAAGATGCCCAATGGCATTCTAAATCATTATGACAGAAAACGTTTTTTACCCCGCGCAATTTTTCAAAAAAATTTTAAATTTTTTATGTCTATTTTTGGTTCAAAATTCATGAACAACATTCAAATTCTTCAAAAAAATCTTTAATTTTTTCAAATTTCAAGCCTCGAAATCGTTGATCACAAGCCCCAAAACGCGTATACTGTAATTAAAAACCCCGCATGACTACAAGTATATTACACATAAGGCCCTCGTCAAGTATACATTACACCGTACTCCAAAACGTAACTCATTTCCGTGGTATTTTGTACTATGTGTCATATTACGTGGTGCGCTGACGTTTCGTACAATTTTTGATAGATATTATAAAGTTAAAATGTCATAAATTGGTCATGAACACCGTCAATAATAAGAAAAATCTTCCGAACACCTCAGGACACCAAAATGTACACTTTGCGAGAGTAAAACAATCCTGCGTCACCGGCTGCAGGCCCAAATGTTGAGTTAATCTCGAGAGTCTACAAGTGTAATCTTCATTTCTTGGTGTTGCCGGATTAAAAAAACCCCAGAAATAGTGATTAAAGAAACCAATTACACGAGAATTTTACTCTGTAATTAAGTGTTCATGAAGGTGTTAATCGTATGGTCTTTGTTTACTTAAGGCACTACACAACCTTACTTTAAATTAAAATTCTCTACCCTACCCTACCCTACCCTACCCTACCCTACCCTACCCTACCCTACCCTACCCTACCCTACCCTACCCTATCCTACCCTACCCTACCCTACCCTACTCTACTCTACCCTACCCTACCCTACCCTACTCTACTCTACCCTACCCTACCCTACCCTAATCTACAGTATGATGTATTTTACAATATGTCATGCTCTTACTTTACTGTACGGTGTGACCTTGAGGTATACAGTATACTTTATGCCTCAATCCTACAGTATGCTTTTGTCTTACAGTACGCCTTAACCCTATCTTATTAAAGGCCTTAACCGACCCTACATTTATATATACCCCCCTCCCCCAATTAGTAATTTTTTAGCCTTTTTACTCCTGCTCTCTCTTCGTCCACCCTTCCACCCATGCCCTGTTTTACGCCCTACCCCTGTCATAACTTTTGCTCTTCAACCTGCCTTCTGCCATGCCCTTTCCCTGTACTATGCTTTGTCCTACCCTCCTCTCCCTTGGTGTATCCCCCCCCCCCATCTTTACATAAAACCATAAAAACCCCCTGCCAACCCTGGATGACGTCGAATTAAACTCGACCGTAACCCCCCGAGCCGAACCTACCCCCCCTAATATTGCTAGTGATGGATAGACACGAACGAGCCTTAAACTTTAAACACACCGACCGTAGTAGGAGGAAGGCATGGGAAAACAGTAAACAACAAGTACAACAGGCGGCCGTGCCGAAAACGTGACCGAATCAATCAAAACGGCCGCTATTGTTTTCTCGGCGTTCCCAATGTTTCAAACCAAGGCCGGGGGGGGGGTGAATTTGCAAAAGTCTGAATTAACTCTTAATTTATGAAGCCCGGGTTCATGCGAAGTGGCAGACCAAAAGACCTGATTTTTTTCGCTTTTAAAGTTATTAAAGCTGCTGAAGGAGCACGTCGTTTTCGAGATAGTAAACATGCCTCAGCCTTAGAGTTAAAAACTTGTCAATAAATGAAAGACAAGCCTAACCTTAAAAGCCTAAGCGATAAAAACTTATGCTTAATCTTAAGCAAGCCTAAAATTAATATAAACAACCTGGACCTTACATTAGCCTACGCTTTGTCTCTTCAGCATAAGTTCATGCAAGCCTAAGCCGGAACCTAAGCGACAGCCTCAGCGTTAACCTAAGCCTGAGACTAAGCCTGATCATGAGCCTGAGCCTAACCCTGAGCGTGAGCCAAAACCATAGCCAAAGCCTAAGCCTAATCCTAAACCTAAGCGTAAGTCTAAACCTAGGCCTAAGCCTAAGCCAAAGCCAAAGCCTAAACCTAAGGCTAAGCCTAAGCCTAAGCCTAAGCCTAAGCTAAAGCCTAAGCCAAAGTTTAAACCTGAAGCTAAGCCTAAGCCTAAGTTTAAGCCTAAGCCTAAGCCTAATCCTCAGCCTAAGCCTAAGCCTAAGCCCAAGCCTATGCTAAAACCTAAGCGACTGCCTAAGCATTAATGTAAGCCGCAGCTTAAGCCAGCGCTTAAGCCTAAGCCGAAGCTTCAGCCCAAGCCTAGAAGTCTGAGCAAAAGCCCAAAAACCAAGCCTAAACTTAAGAATAAGCCTAAAACTAAGCCTCATTTTAAGCGCTTAAGCTTATGCGATAGCCTAAGCCCTTCCCATAAACTTTTTTTTAAGAAAAGCCAAAACCATCCCACCACAACGTAACCCTTTTCTCTGAACTTTTTTTAAAAGCTTAAAACCCATGCCCACCATAACCCAGCCCCTTAAACGTTGTTGAAAACCCCAAACCCATGCCCACCATAACCCAAACCCCAGCCCAACAAACACACTCCCAACCCAACTCAAAAGCGACCAATGGCCAAGAGATCAGATCGTTAAAGTGACGGAACGTCGAGAACAACTGATGGTGATAAATCTCTGCAAACGCAACATGACCGTTCGTCTGGTCGGTTTCAGATAAAGGTCGGGGCGTGTCGGTTTTTTTCTTTGGCTACAAAAAAAAGACGATTCTGGTGTAACAGAAATTAATTAAACTCTTCGTTTCTTTACAATCAGCAAAGATAAGGAGGTAATGCCAGACGTGCAAACGAAGTTGAAGTTAACAGGGAGGGGTACTCTACAGCATGCTGGAGGCTTTGTAAACAAAGAATGGCAAAGTCTTAAAAAGTGGAGGGGGGGGAGGTAGAAAAAAAGATTTAATAAAATTTTTATTTTTTTCACCTTATTTTACATTATGTTTTAAAATTACCATAACTTTTCAAAAATCCGATTTTTTCGAAAAAAGTTTAGTCCCACAACGAAAACCCTGAAAATCAAAGAAAGACAAAAAATCAAAAAATTAGCGTACTTTCAAATTTTAAGAAGTTTTCGTGGTGGGACCAATAGCAAACTCAAGGTAAAGTTTTAAGCTTAAGCTTACAACTTAGACTAAGCCTAAGCTACAAATTACGCCCTAGCCTAAGCTTAAACATATTTCTAGAAGCCTAAGCTTAAAAGCTTAAGCCTAAGTTTAAGCCTAAGCCTAAGAACCTAATCCTACAAGACTAAGCCTACAAGCCTGAACATAAGCCCAAGCATAATTTCTAACCAAAGTTTGAAACTAAGCCTACACCTAAGGCTATACATTCAGTTTAAGCCTAAAATTAATCACATGTTCAGCTTGTGTCTTATAGTAAGTGTTAGCTTAAGACTAAGTCCAATCCCAAAGAAAAGCCCAAACCCAAGCCCTTGCCTTGCCTTGCCTTGCCTTGCCTTGCCTTGCCTTGCCTTGCCTTGCCTTGCCTTGCCTTGCCTTGCCTTGCCTTGCCTTGCCTTGCCTTGCCTTGCCTTGTCTTGTCTTGCCTTGCCTTGCCTTGCCTTGCCTTGGCTTTGCCTACACCTAAAGCCTAAGCCTTTGCCAATGTCTATTATTGTATTTAAAACACTAAAAAATTCCACATTTACTTCCACAAAACTTTAGCCAACACGCATTACAAGTCTATTAATAATCAATACATCCCCCCCCCCTGTTTACATTACTAATCCCTCGTATCCGCTCGGTATAAACATTTGCATTTACATTGAATTTAAATTTGTCAGGAAAAAGTTGATTAATTACGGTTCCACGAATACGCGGAACGTTCGCGGGAACGTTAATAATGTTGACAGTAACGTGCCACTATAAAATTCAGTCCTTTCTTGTGGGTAAGACAACAAAATATTGGGCAAAGATCGGAGAAATGAAATTGACAAAAGTAAATTGGGTTTTAAAGCAATCATAGTCTAAGCCTAAGCGTCAGTCTCAAAGACAGAAGCTAGTTTTATATGTTAAAATAAGCCTAAGCCTTTAATGCAGCCAAAGCTTAAAACAAATACCGGGCTTAAGACAAAGCCTATACTATCAGACTATTACTAAGCCAATGCCTGTGCATGAGCACAAGCCTAAGAGTGAGACAAAGCATAAGCAAAAGTCTAAGAATAAGCTTGAGTTTCAGCCCTAGACTAATACAAGTACTGAGCCTAAGCCTCAGCCTAAGCTTAAACTTGAGCTGGAAACTCAGCCTAAGCTCAAGCCTTAACTTTAGACTCACTTTTGAGCCTAAGCCTTAGCATAAGCCTAAGCATAAACCTAAGCCTAAGCCTAAGCATAAACCTAAGCCTAAGCCTAAGCCTCAGCATGAGTCTAAGCCTGAGTTTGAGCCTAAGCCAAAGCCAAAACTTACTTCCCTACACCTAGGCCTAAGCCCGAGGCTGGGTCTGTGCCCAAGCCCAAGCCCAAGCCCAAGCCCAAGCCCAAGTCCAAGCCCAAGCCTATGTTTTTTGTTTCTTTTTCCTAAGCCTAAACGAATTAAAAAACCACACTGTACAAAGAAAATTTAAACGTGCAAAAATCTAAAAAAAAAGTCAATTCAACTACAGTTGTAAACTCTATAATTCTAATTGACAAACCCTTTACTACACAGTAATCGAACCAAACATAATCTTAAACTGGGCGTGGCCTCGAACTCAAAAGTTTGTAGAAACGAGTGTAAATTAACATTTACTATATTTAGCTGCAGAAATTGTCATTTTTAGCATTTGGAAATGACGATTGTAGCTTTTAAATTTTAAAACGTCAAAAACCATGTAAAAAATTTAAAAAAATAATTTATTAGGTATTCAAAAGTTTGAAAGGTTTTCGTGGCGAGACTTACAAACACAAAAATTAAAATTTTAAGCCAGCGCTTAAGAATACGCCAAAAATTAAGACAAATATAGCTGAACTTAGGCCGAATCCCAAGCCAAAGCTTAAACCTAAGTTTAGGCCTAAGCCAAAGCCCGAGACTGAGCGCCAGCTTAATCCAAAGTCAGTCTAAACCAAAGCCAAAGCAAAACGCCGAAGCCTAAGGCTAGACCTGAAGCAAAGCCTAAGCCTAAGCCCAAGCCTAAGCCTAAGCCTGAGCCCGAGCCCGAGCCTAAGCCTAAGCCCAAGCCCAAGCCCAAGCCCAAGCCCAAGCCCAAGCCCAAGCCCAAACCCAAGCCCAAGCCCAAGCCCAAGCCCAAGCCCAAGCCTAAGCCTAAGCCCAAGCCTAAGCCTAAACCTAAGCCTAGAAGCCTAAGCGTAGGAGCCTCAACCTCAAATTAAGCCTAATTGTAAGCGTATGCCTATGGACCTCAACTTAAGCCTAAGTGTAAGCGTATGCCTATGCCTAAGCTTGTGCCTGATCCTTTTTTCATGTCTAAGCCGAATCAAACTTTAAGACTAAGTTTATGCGTCACCTCGAGCTTAAGCCTAATCCTAAGCCTAACAAGCTCTAAAAAAGAAAAAATTATGCAAGAATGAACATTTTTAGATGGAATTAACAACTTTTCAAAAAAAAAATTTTATTTTTTAAAAATCATTCCTCCCCTCCTCCTTCCCCCCCCTTCCCCTCCAAAAAAACATAAAAGCCCCAACAAGCCTACGATAACAATCCGAACGTCATCTGGTCGAGTTTACACTCGAAAATGGGGCACTCAAGTTCACGGGGTTCAAGAATCGCCAGCGGCATGCGAATAAACAGACCGGCGTTCTTTTCCACTGTTCCTCGACGTTCCTTCCCCTTTTTTATGTATTGTTCCGCCGAAAATTGTCTCGTTATCTCGGGCGTCTCTTCGCCGTTTAGGTTTTATGACTAGGAAGTAAAAAACAACAGCTTTTTAGGCATAAAATCTGTTTTTAGGGCAATTTGAGGTGGTTTTAGGCTAAAAAATTGGTTTTAAGGCTTAGAAATGGTGAAAATTTTAATTTTATGCCCTTTTTAATAAACATATAACCTCAAAATGCAATTATTAATCAATTCTTTAAAAAATATTATCTTATTTTACCCATTTTTATCTTTTTCCCCCGCAATTTCCATCAATTTCTTACTATTTCGCAAATTTTCTCTGGCTCCCTCCATCTTTTACGCACTCTCTCAGCCATTTCCTTTTGTTTTTCGGCCCACTTTTGCGTTTCTTTCCCTCCCTACCAGCTCTCCGCTTTTTACGCGCCCTCTCTCTTAATCTCATTCCTTTTCGCTGTTTACTTCATAAATCTGCACGCACTCGTCTTTTTGCGCGCTCCCTCGCCCCTATTCTTTCCTTTTCGGGCGTTCCTTTCACCCTCTGCGCGCTCTCTTTGTTTTTACGCGCTTTCGCACGCTCTCTCACCTCTCTTCTTTCTTTTGACCGTTCCTTGCACTCTCTGCGTGCTCTCCTTGTTTTCGCACGCTCTCTCTTTTCGCCCCTTTTCACCCCGCGCACCCCCTCTCTTTCGCTCGCTCTCTCATCCCCGGTCGGGCGGTTTCCCGCCCTCCGGGTGTTTTCCGCCTTTGGCGTGAAAACTGGCGAGACAGTTGGAAGCACATGCTCTTCGATGCTTCCAACATGTGTAATCAGCACGTATGACGCGAACAAACAAAAACTGGCCGTCACATGGTCGAAAAAAGTTTGGGCATAATGTAAATATAAAGGCATAGTAAGGGAAAATATGGTATTAGGTTTGAATCGTCATGAAGATGACAGTAAAACATGATATGATAAAAAGAATGGCAGGGAAAAGGGAAAAATTTGGATTGAAAGAGTGGTGATTTAAAATTAGTGCCAGCCGGCTGATTGGAAAAATTCAAAAACTTTAAAATGACAAAAGTGCGGCAAAAGGCCATAAAATAACGTACGAAAAAAGAAATTACTATAACTTCAATTTAAAGTACCAAAAAATTTCAAAAAATGGCCAAAAAGCGCCAATTTTTCTAAAATTTCAAGTTTTAAACTATTAAACTGAACTAAACTGCAATTCAAATGCAAGTAAAAGACACTTAAACTATTCAACTATACAATTCATACTTTGTTTTTTACATTTCCCACTTTACTTTGTACATTTCAACCATTAACATGGCACGATACTACAATTAAGACTATAATAATGCCATTTTCAAACTTAAGCCTCAATTACAACATTACTTCTTAATTACAATGAAACATTACTTTACAAATACCTCTACTTTGACCGCCATTTTACAACGATTCTCCATACGATAACATATTCAACATGATATAGTAAAGGAATTATTGTAAAAATCGCCATGACAACCATCTTAAGTGGTGGAAATGTGTTACAGAGTAGAGACGGACTGTAAGAAGTAATTGTTAAAGAACGCCGAAGAACTAGTTTACAACGTTCACGTTGTAAGAACGTTGTGAGCAAAAAAAATTCGCACAAAAGAAACTGTTAAAACTGTAGTTTGGGAGGGTTTGAAACGGTTTTTTTGGTTAAGAGGAAGTTAAAGGTACAGTAAGATAGAAAAAAGTGAAAATACAGTAAGAAAGCCAACTCATCATAAAAACTTTTTGAAATCTGAAAAGCAACGCCTAGCCTTGCCTTGCCTCTGCCTTATCCCAGAGCCCCAGCCCAAAGCCCTAGCCCAAAGCCCTACCCCAGAGCCCTACCCCAGAGCCCTATACCAGAGCCCTCGCCCAGAGCCCGAGCCCAGTGCCCTAGCCCAGAGCCCTAGCCCAAAGCCTTAGCCCAGAGCTCTAGTCCAGAGCCCTAGTATACACACTAGCCTACAGAGCCCTAGCCCAGAGCCCTAGCCCAGAGCCCTAGCCCAAAGCCCTAGTCCAGAGCCCTACCCCAGAGCCCTAGTCCAGTGCCCTAGTCCAGAGCCCTAGCCCAGAGCTCTAGCCAAAATGCTTGCCCTGGCTTAGACTACTCTTTTCTACATATTGCCCTCGACTAAGCCCTAAGTGTCTTAGCCATAGCAAAAGTTTTCGTCCTGGCCAAATTTTAAGCCCTAACCTTAGTATTAGCTTAATCTAAAGAGTAGCATAAGCCCAAAACCAAGCCTAATCCTAAGCCCTAGTCTAATTTCTAGCCCTAGCCTATAAACTAGCCTAAATTTTTGCCCTAGCATGAGCCCTAGTCCTAGTCCTAAGCCAAATTTTAGCCTTAAAAAAGTCCTAGCCCAAGCCCTAGTCTACCCTATCCATAAAGCCTAAGCCGCCAAAACCTGATGCAAAGCCCATTTTTGTTCAACCAAGCCCAAATCCATTAACACAAATTTTAATTACTGGTAAGGCCTGTATGTAAAACGCAAAAAAAAAACACGGCACGAGGCACTCGGTGTTTTTTGTCACGGCCAACACGTCCATTCGCTTCGACGTACCGAACGTTCTCGGAAATTAACCCACGAGATGTTTGCCACACAATGTTGCATTTTGGAAAAAAAAATAAGTTTAAGCCTTATTCTGTAAAGTTAAGACTAAAAACAAACCTGTGCTTAAGCCTGAACTTAAGCATGAAGTTCTGACTATGCCTAAGCCTAAGCCTGAGCGTAAGCGTAAGACTAAGAATGAGCCTAAGCCTACGCCAACCTAAGCCTAGGCCTAAGCCTAAGCTTAAGCCTAAGCCTAAGCCTAAGCCTAAGCCTAAGCCTAAGCCTAAGCCTAAGCCTAAGCCTAAGCCTAAGCCTAAGTCTAAGTCTAAGCCTAAGCCTAAGCCGAAGCCTAAGCCTAAAACTAAGCCTAAGCCTAAGCCAAAGCCTGGACCTAAACTTAAAGTTAAGGTTAAGTCTAAAGCTATACCCATGGCTAAGCCTAAGCGTAAACCAAAGATAAAGCCTGAGCCTTGTCTGGTTTTTACCTTTAAAACCTAAGCTTATACTTTAAAGTTAAGCTTAAGAATAAGCCTAAAGCTATAACATATAGTACCCAAACATATAGTAATATACACCCCCTGCCCCCCCCCCTCTAAAAAGTAATGATAGTATTACTCTACCCCTCTGCGCCCTTCTCTTCTCTCCCAAGCCGCCCCCCCCCCCCTTCAAAAATAAGCCTATTACAACCGATGTAATACCCAAAAGCCCTACCGAAATGACATTTTTTGCCGCTTCCAATGTAAGACATTGTTCTTGCCATTATCCGCCAACTCAACTCTCCCCAAAAACACTCCGAAAACAGGCAAAAGAGCGCGCAAAACGAAGAGACGGCAGAGAAAAGCGAGCGTTCAGAGAGGAATAGCGTTAAAAAAGGCAACAAAAAAGTGGACGGAACGGCCGACGGAACGTTTCACTTCCATTTAATGTGTCTGTTCGATTTTGGGTTCGCTCCCAAAATGTTTTTCGAAAACATGTCAATATATGAGCCGAATCGGATTGGGGGCAAGCTGCGCCCGGGTCGAATAACAAATCAAGGTTTAGAAATCCAAAATTGGAAAATCTGAATTTTTAAAATAAAATAAAGTTAACTGATTTTCAAATTCAAAAAAAAATCATTTTTATCAAATGTAAGGCTTAAAAAGTGCTATAAACGATTTAAAACGACTGCACCGTGCAAAAAATGCACTGCACGGTGCAGTAAACAAATTGCACAGTAAAATTTAAAGCCTCAAAGAACAACAAAAATAAAAAACGTAAAATAGAAGTCACTCTTCATGTCTCAAATAACTTTTCTCAAAAAAAAACCCCAAATTTTTTTAAAATTTCAATTTTAATGCACTGTGCAAAAAATAGAATGTGCAGTGCAATGTAAAACCGCAAAATTAACCAAATTTTTAAAAAATTGGAAAAAAGGTATCATCACAGAACAGAAAACACATTGGTTCAAAAATTTTACAAATTTATCAAAATTTGCATTTTTATTGCACCGTGCAAAATAATTGGCTGCACAGTGCAATTTAAAGCGACACAGCGGACTAAAATCAACAAATTGAAACAAAGGCATCACGATAAACCGGTAGACTAACTTTTTCATAAAACTTAATAAATTTTTGAAAATTTTCATATATGATGCACAGTGCAAAGAAATTGAATGCACAGTGCAACTTATAGTTGCACAGTACAACAAAATAACAAAAAAAAACAAAAATGACGGCTTCATAATAGACCAAAAATCCCATTTTGTACAAAAATTTAAAGAGTTTTTCAAAATTTGCATATTTAATGCACCGTGCAAGAAAAATTGGGTGCACCGTGCAAACAAAAAAACCAAAAAAAAAATTTTAAATTTAATTAAAAAACTTGTGAAATTTATACTATCCAAGCCGCTAATACCCCAAAATAAGATGTTTTTTGAGCAAAACAGCGATTAAAAAATGCAGTCACCACCAGTCCACATTAATGTTGTTTATGAGATTGCACTCTTATCGTAATATCAAGATTGGAGTGTAAAGTCGGAAAGAGGAGCCTTTAAAGGTCGGTTTGGCGACAAACTTGAACCCTGAAATTTGTTGGATTTCACTTGTCAATAATTTAAATTGAACGGGTATTTAAAATTCAAAATCGCGGGAAAATACAATTGCACGATGCAGTCCAAACAGAATGCACAGTGCAAAAAATAAAGCCTGCACGGTGCATGAAAAAGGATAACTAACAAAAAAAGATTTAAAAAAATTAGGCTTAACCCTATAAGCCTAAGCCCAGAAGCCTAAGCCTAGAAGCCTAAGCCTAGAAGCCTAAGCCTAGAAGCCTAAGCCTAGAAGCCTAAGCCTAAGCGTAGAAGCCTAAGACTGGGCTTATTTCTAAACCTATAATTAGGCTTAAGAATAAGGCTAAGCCTAAACTTAAGCCAAAATCTAAAATGCAACTCAAGCCCTAGTCTAAGCCCTAGCCTAAGCCCTAGCCTAAGCCCTAGCCTAAGCCCTAGCCTAATCCCTAGCCTAAGCCCTAGCCTAAGCCCTAGCCTAAGTCCTAGCCTAAGCCCTAGCCTAAGCCCTAGCCTAAGCCCTAGCCTAAGCCCTAGCCTAAGCCCTAGCCTAAGCCCTAGCCTAAGCCCTAGCCTAAGCCCTAGCCTAAGCCCTAGCCTAAGCCCTAGCCTAAGCCCTAGCCTAAGCCCTAGCCTAAGCCCTAGCCTAAGCCCTAGCCTAAGCCCTAGCCTAAGCCCTAGCCTAAGCCCTAGCCTAAGCCCTAGCCTAAACCATAACCCTTGCTTTAGCCAAAAAATAAAATTTTCAATTTAAAATGTTTTCCAAAAATTTACAATTATCCTGAAGTCATCCCCAAAAGTTCAAAAACAATTTTTTTCCAAAAAAATTTCAAAAGAAAACAGCCGGTCGAGCTACCGTAACCCTCGAGTGCAGCCCAAGTACAAAAAGAAGATTTGTTTTTTATCAACGGATGGTAAACAATGGCGTTTCAAAGAAATGGAAACAGTCTTGTTTTTGGACAGGCCGCTACAACAGTTGGCTAGCCAAAAAAAAACGCGTTAACATCAAGGTCAGAAAGTGAAAACAAGAAATGGCAATTTATAAAAAACCAAAAAATGCATTTTAAAAAGTTTTTCTTACCCTACCCTACTGTACCCTACTCTACCTTACCCTACCCTAACTTACAGTAACCTACCCTACCCCATCCTTCCCTTCCCTACCCTACCCTACCCTACCCTACCCTACCCTACCCTACCCTACCCTACCCTACCCTACCCTACCCTACCCTACCCTACCCTACCCTACCCTACCCTACCCTACCTTACCATACCCTACCCTACCCTACCCTACCCTACCCTACCCTACCCTACCTTACCATACCCTACCTACCCTACCCTACCCTACCCTACCCTACCCTACCCTACCCTACCCTAACCTACCCTACCCTACCCTGCCCTACCTTACCCACCCTACCCTACCCAATCTTGCATGTCTTGTCCTGATCTACCTTGTCCTGCCCTGCGTTGCCTTGCTCTGCACTGCTCTACCCTAGCCCAAGATTTAACTATCCCCACCCCTCGACTCCCCAAATGTTTTGTCCTCTTAACTTAACGTCTATCTCTAGTTTTCCATCATCTCCGCCCCCTCCCGTTTTATTTTATAACCTCATCCCTCTTACTCTTTTTTTTCCCTCACAATACCTACCGCACCCCCCCCTTATTTGTCTTTTTTTATTTTTAGCGCGTTCTACCCAAATTTATCCGACCCTCCCCCCCCTCCTCCGCCCCCTTTCCCCGCTTCACATTTCTCCCACTCTTACTTCTATCCACCCCCCCCTTACCTCTACCCACCCCCCCCTCTCTACCCCCATTTCTACCCAACTCTACCCTACCAAGCTTATCCCCCCCACACTTCTAATTTACCCCCTCCCCCCCCTCCCTCCCTATTAAAGACTGTAACGTCTAGTGTTTCGTCTTTATTTCGTCCAAAAAAGTTTCAAATTACTAGATGACTAAAAAAAAAGAAAAAAAAAGTTCAACCAGACCATCAAAACAGCTAGACGAACCGCGGATGCTGGCAGTCGGTCAGCCGGCTGGCTCTATCTATTCTTTTCTTTTGTTGTCACTGCCTTTCTCTCTTTTCTTATCACCCCTCGTTTTTTAGCTTGCATCTTCTCTACCATGCCCTACCCTACCCACCCCTCCCCCTCTCTCTCTTACTTCATACTCACCATACCCCTGCCTCCATCGTCGTGGTTTATCTCTCTCTCTCCCCTCCTCCCTTCTCTTTTCTCTGCCAGCCGGCTGTCACTAAGTATTATCTTTATCTCTCCTTCCGGCCTTATCTTTGTAACCCCCCCCCCTCGTAATGCCAACCGGCTGTCACTAAATATGATAATATGATTTCTTCCCTGCTTATCCGCCCTATCTCTAACTATCAGCCTATCATTCTTCCCCCCCCCCCTCCTCTCCACCCCTTCCTTCCTTTTCTCTCTCCCTACCCTACCCCCCCTCCTCAACCCCCCCTTAGCCCCCCCCTCGCTAACCCTCTCTTCCCTTTCTCTCTCTACCCTTCCCCCCCCTCCCTCCTTACCCCCCCCTTTCCCCCCCCTCCCCCTCTCCAACTCTCTCCTCCTCCCCTGTCCAACCCTCCATTCCCTTTCTCTCTCTCCCCCCGCCCTCACCACCCTCCTTATTCCCCACACTCTCTCTCTCCTTGTTGTTTTGAGGGCACGATGAGGAACAGCGGACCCGCCCCAGAACGCCGCCGGGTCATGTGATTTTTGTTTCGGAAATAGAACGAGACAAAACAAGAATTCATTCCCCCCCCCCTCTTCTGTTCCCTAAACATATAAAAACAGACGAAAAATAATGAAAAACAACGTTGAAACAACGTCGTGACGTCGAGAAGCCCCGGGTGAAGAGTTGAGACAGTGTTGAGAAAGAAAAAAGAAATTTTTTATTTTGATATTTAAAAAAAAATAAAAAATTTACGGTAATTTTATTCTTATAATTATACAGTAACCCTACGACTAATAGTCATCCCAATTCAACTGATACTGCGGCTCGGTCTTGGGCAAAGAAATAAGCATAACTATATGTATAGATATGGCTGCAATTAGGGCTTAAACTAAAGCTCAAGCTAGAGCTTAGACTTGAGCTTAGGCTAGGACTTAAGCTAGGCTTCCGGTTACTTAAACTAAGGCTAAGGCTAAAGCTAAGGCTAAGGCTAAGGCTAGAGCTTATGCTAAAGCTTAGACTAAATACTAATTAGACTTATGCGTAAGCTTAAGCTAAAGCTAATGGTAAAGCTATAACTAGTCTACTGTAGCTCCATAGCTACCAAAGCTAAAGTTCGGTGTTTTACAGTAGCCCTGAGCCTACCTTATCAAAACCCAAGCCTACTTATAGCTAACCCTCAGGCTAATAAGTCTAACCTACAGTATTTTGTACAGTAATCTCAGACTTACCCCGCTCCCCCCCCCCTCCTACGGTACTCGACCATTCCCTACCC